GATATTTATTAAAGAATATATTTACACAATATAAAATATAATTATACAACTATAACATGGAAATTGGTCCCAAATATGAAGTGGGCAATGGAGGCATCACACAACATACCCGAACATAGCATATTAAGTTTTTACGGGTGACAGGTTTTAGTAACAATGAGAGATAGGAAATGATTAGAAATATAGAGAGATATAACGGTAATAGGAATCAAGGGGTCCCAAATAACAATGTTACTATCAACGCATTTAGATACAGTTAATATATTTTATTTGAAATGATTAACAAAATATAAGGCAGTGTACATTTTACATAAATTCTTATCCTACGACAACAGCAAAGGGGATAAAGGGGACCTAGTTTAAGAAAATCATCTAGAATGTGAACCATATGCTTGATGTTTGAAACATTTTCAGCAATGTGATGTTAACCCGAGTTGAAACGTTCGAAAATAGCGCAAGAAGACGATGCCTCCATAGGAAGACATGTATCAAAATAATAATGGCCACAAAATCTAAAGCCTACTAAATGATGGACATCTGGATGAATTGGAATGAATCGAAATGCTGAATCTATTGTCTGTTTGCTGAATAAGAAATCAGGAACAGATCTAAGCCAGTTTTATAAAACTGTAAATCATTCAAAAGGAACTGTAAAGTTCGCGGAAGAAAATGTGGGGCTTATGAAAATCAGAATTTGAAAAAGAAATACCATGTGGAAATAATTAGATGGTGTAAATTAATTCTAAATTGACTCTGGATTTTTTGCTTTGTGCAACGAGGCCAATCGGGCCCTTAATGCGAAAGATTGGTTCCTATTGGTGGTGCCAAATTAAACGGACCCTTATTCTACCTGAGTCAAGTTCTATCTTAACTTTAACATGAACTGCCTCAGTATCATCGTCACAAGACTTAAGGTTTGGAGATACAGAAGCTGTGTCGGGACCTATGTAACCAAGTTTAAACCATGTAAAAACCATTGAATCAAATACTGGGCTGATTTGTATTTCTTTATATATTTCTTAAGGGCATTGACCATTGACTTATTTTTTTCTTTATTTTTAAGTATAATATTCGTACAAACCCAGAGGTACTTTTGTGACTTGAAAAACAATGGGTAACAGTAAATTCTCTTTGATCCTGTTCATTCCGTTTTTACCTGTGTGTCTTTTTTTAAGCATTGTGTGACTGAAAATGGCTAAGTCACATTAGTACCATTTCGTAAGTACGTCCGTCCATCCGTCCGTCCGAATTTTGTTTCCGCGCTAGTTCTCTGTAACTACTGGCTGGAATTCAACCAAACTTTATGGGAATCATCAATATTGAGAGGAGATGCGCATATCATCGGCTTGTTCCAATCAGACTTTTTAACTCAGAGTTATGGCCCTTGATTTGTTATGCAGTATGCATATAGAGCAAAAATCGTTTCCGTGCTACTACTCTGCAACTACTGGCTGGAATTCAACGAAGCTTTGTGGGAACCTTCAATACCAAGAGGAGATGCGCATATCGTTGCCTTGCTTTGTCAGACACTTTAACTCAGAGTTATGGCCCTTGATTAGTTATGAAGTATGCATATAGAGCAAAAATCGTTTCCGCGCTACTTCTCTGCAACTACTGGCTGGAATTCAACGAAACTTTATGGGAGCCTTCAATACCAAGAGGAGTTGCGCATATCGTTAGGTTGTTCCGGTCAGACTCTTAAACCTCAGAGTTCATGGCCCTTGATTAGGTTATGCAGTAATGCATATAGACAATAATCGTTTCCCGCGCTACTTCTCTGCAAACAACTGCCTGGAATTCAACGAAACTTTATGGGAATCATCAATATCAAGAGGAGATGCGCATATCGTCGGCTGGTCCCGGCAGACCCATTAAATCAGAGTTATGGCCCTTGATAAGTTATGCAGTATGCATATCGAGCCAAAATCGTTTCCGCGCTTCTTCTCTGCAACGACTGGCTGGAATTCAATGAAACTTTATTGGAACCTTAAATACCAACAGGAGACCTTGTTCAGGTCAGACACTTTAACTCAGAGTTATGGCCCTTGATTAATTATGCAGTAAGCTTATAGAGCAATAATAGTTTTTGCATTACTTCTTTGCAACTTCTAGATTAAATTCTACAAAACTTGATGGGAATCATCAATATCAAGAGGAGATGCCCATATGGTAAATTGGTTCCGATCAGACCCTTTATCTCAGAGTTATGGCCCTTGTTTAATTAGGGCAGTATCATATATAGAGCATATAATCTTTCCGCGCTTTCCTCCTGCAAACCTACTGCCTTGAACTTTTCACAAAAATTTAAATGGAAGCATCAATATCAAGAGAGATGCGCAATATAACGGCCTTTTGTTTCCCCGGTCAGACACTTTACTCAAGTTTATAGCCCCTTGAGAAGTTTTTACTGCCAAGTATGCAATGTAAACAAAAAATCGTTCCGCTGCTCTTCTCCTGCAACTCTGGCTGGAATTCAACCGAAAACTTTTTATGGGGTCCACATAAAGTTTCGTTGAATTCCAGCCAGAAGTTGCAGAGAAGAAGCGCGGAAAAGTTTATTGCTCTATATGCATACTGCATAACTAATCAAGGGCCATAACTCTGAGATAAAGGTCTGACCGAAACAAGCCGACGATATGCGCATCTCCTCTAGATATTGATGACTCCCAGTTATGGCCCTTGATTAGTTATGCAGTATGCATATAGAGCAATAAACTTTTCCGCGCTTCTTCTCTGCAACTTCTGGCTGGAATTCAACGAAACTTAATGCGAACCTTCAATACCAACAGGAGAAGCGCATATCGTTCCCTTGTTCCGGTCAGACACTTTAACTCAGAGTTATGGTCCTTGATTATATATGGTCCGTTATGCATTATGCATATAGGGCACACTTTATGGGAACCTTCAATACCAAGAGGAGATGCACATTTCATAGCCTTGTTCCGGTCAGACACTTTAGCTCAGAGTTATGGCTTTTGATTAGTTATGCAGTATGCATATAGAGTAATAATTGTTTCTGCGCTATTTTTCTGCAACTAATGGCTGGAATTCAATTAAACTTTATGGTAACCATTAATACCAAGAAGAGATATGCACAATTTGTAGCCTTGTTCAGATCAGACCATTCATTACAGACTTATGGCCCTTGATTAGTTATGTAGTATGCATATAGAGCAATATTGCTATTTCTTTGCAACTGCTGTATTGTTTATGGGAACCATTGATACAAAAAGGCAATTTACATCTCATTGGCATGTCCAGATATTACTATTTAACACGGAGCTATGGCTCTGTTATTGCCCTGAATATTTATCATGTACCAAGAATATTGCTGTTTACGCCATGATAAATATAAATAAATAAAGCCTTATGTCTTCAGTTGTTGTGTTAGTAATAACCAGTACTCGGCGGGGGATATAAATTCAACGAATTTGCTTGTTGTTCATAGTTTTGTAAATATTTTGGATTTTGATCTTTAAAAACATTTACGAAGTCCAGGTTCATCTCCCGACTATCTTGTTGTGGAATCTCTGTAAAGATACTGGTGACTGGTTTCAAAAAAAATGCAATGGATAAAGATTGATGTGGGTGCATTTGTTTGCATAAAAATGTGTGTCAACAGCCCTATTTTCCCTAATTTATGGCTCTGAAATCTCTTCTTTTCCCTCCCTTTTTACAAAAATCCCGTACTTTTATCAGTTCTTTCTTGTTATTGGCCGCTTAAAATCCTGTAGGTGGATACTTCATAGATAACTTTGCGGTTACTTGATGCATGTTCTGGAGATATGGCGCATGGTACTCGTAATTCGAAGCTTTATCAGATAGTGTAATAAAAGCCTTTGTAAATTGTTTTGGGAATACAAGATGTCGTGTCAAAAATTTCAAGAGCTACATACTTTAGTATTGTAAACACAAAAAGTGTAATTCAGTATTCCAGTCATAATACATAATACATGTAATCAGACGCTAAAGGCCTCCTAAGAATTTTTCCATGGAATTTAATTTTTAATGTAAACTCTAAAAATTAGGTATACCGTAAATTAAGACGTATACCCTGACATATAGAATTCATTTACCTGTGAAACTGGAATAAAAGTATGTTACCCTACCCAGGAAATTCCGTCTTTTTCAGTGCCTTCAGCGCTTTGATCTTATTGTAGTATAACTTTACCATGTCATTTTTCTCCATTCAAAAACAAGTTTCCAGCAGAAACATAAACGTTTAATTACTTACATGATGACAAAAATACACTTAAATTTTTTCTAATTGTCTGAAATGAGAGTTTTGTTTGGAAAGCGTATTTACGATACACAGACCGCTATAAAGCTAGCTTACCGTACTCAGATGCCCGTTTGTGTCTAGAACAATTTTGCAAAGAGGGGCAGGCACCTAAGGTCTTTCTCCTACAGTAAAGCTTTAATTTGTTTTTAATTATAATATGTTATAGAATACTTTTATTAGTGTGATAAATCTAATTCTTCAAAATATTAGATTTGAAACTTTTTTTATAGACTTTATAGAAACTTCCCATTCTTCTATTTCTTACACAAAAAAATCTTTTGTTTGAATATATTTATACATTTTTTTTTTTTCGAAAAAAATAGACATAGGTGATGTGACTTTGTTTACAAAATATTGTGCAATTTCATTTCAAGGTAAAGTACAGGAGACATGCACATTTGAAATCGGGGTGCTTAAAACACTTGTTATTTGTATATCTTGGCTGTGACATTCGTAATACTTGCTTAAGTTCAGCTTATGTAGGTGACTATAAATCAACATTAGATAAAAACAACCAAGGTCATTTTATATGCACAAGGATAAGCTTTATCAAAAGTTTGTCTGTTTTAGTGAAGTTTATCTAACATGCTGTGATTAAAACATTCGATAGATGTCCATGGCTAAAGTATTTGAGAGAAAATGAAAATCTATATTACAATTTTATTGCTATGTTTTATAAAATATTCGACAATGATGGAAGAGGTCATTGTTTGAAACAAATATTGGACTATAAAGGGAGAAGCAAGGACAATTCGAGCCGTTTGGAGTTCCTATTCGAGTACGGCAATTTCTTGGAGTGCCTTATGCCGAGCCACCTGTAGGTGCTCTCCGTTTTGAGAAGCCTAAAATGAAACAGAGAATGGATGGCGTGTATGATGCTACAAGATATAGACCCTCTTGTTTGCAACTGCATATGGATCTTTTAGGGAAGCGGAAACCAGCAGCTGAAACTGGTTTACCGGAGTTCTCAAATGACTGCCTCGTGATAAATATTTTCACTCCGGATAATCGAGAAGATAATGATAAGTTACCTGTAATGATTCTCTTCCATGGTGGAGGTTTTGTTATAGGGACATCATCAATATACCCTGGACATATAACTAGTGGATATGGGAACGTTATATTGGTGAACGTTAACTATAGGTTAGGGTTGTTTGGATTTTTGAGTACTGGTGATTCAAATTTACCCGGGAATTACGGTCTCTGGGACCAACATATGGCTATTCGTTGGGTACACGAAAATATTGCAGCGTTCGGTGGAGACCCTGATAAAATGACATTATTTGGAGGTTCGGCAGGCGGGGCCAGTGTGATATTTCAAGCAATGTACCCAGGAAATAAAGGACTGATTAAGAGAATTATCCCTCAGAGTGGCAGCATAACGTGCCCATGGGCTTATCAGCGAGATTCATTACAGAATGCTAAACGCATTGCTAATCTAGTCGGATGTCCAAACTGATGTAGATACTTCACGACTTGCAACTTGTCTAAGAAATATCCCCGATGAAAAGTTTATGAAAGCGTACAATAATCCATTGAATGGATTCAGAAAGTTTCCTTTTAGAGTTTTGTTTTCTGTTGACGAAGAATTCGTTCCATTAACTACTTGGGAAATGCTTCATAGCGATTCAGATATTGCAAAAGACAGGCGAGATTTATTCCGCAGTTTCGATGTAATGGCGGGCCTTGTAGACGACGAAGGTTTCATGATGATTACTCCATTTGTAGGTGTTGATAACACAGATACATTTACAGTTGATAGATACCAATTGGAAAACAAATATATACCAGATATCGTGCGTATAATGTTTGGTGAAAATATTCCAGAAAACATAAATACTCTTGTCGCTTTTGAATATACGGACTGGAAAAATCCTGATGATGAAGAGCGTTCTTATGAATCTTTTATGCGGCTAAGTTCCGATTACGTTTTTAACAGCCAAGTCATTGACACAACGAAGATACATGCTGAAAATAATCATGGCACAAAAACGTTTTTGTTCCTTTTAAATGCTTTCTCATCCCAACATATTCTGTGGGTACCACCCACGTGGAAAGGTGGGTCAGTACACGCTGACGAGTGGGCGTTTATTTTAGGGTATGATTCAGAGAGCGGATTTACAAGCGCAACAGCTCCATATGGCGTTGAACCACAGAAATGGGAAATTGAAATGTCAAAAGAAGTAATCAAAATGTGGACAAATTTCGCAAAAAGCGGGTAAAGCTGACTACCTTTTGAATTTCCTGTTTTTTTACATTTATTACTTTTTTTATTAAATTTTTTAAAATTTAATTATCATTCATTTGCCGATAAACATAGCCAAATAAATAATTGATAATTCAAACTTTCAAATGTTTGTATTAGAATTGTTTCACACTTAAATCTGTTATTTATTCAATAAGCTACACTTTGCTACTAGTAGCCCATTTCATGTTTTTCTTTTCTTTTTTGAAACAGTGATCCAAACAAGCCGGTGCGCATTAACACGGAATGGCCGGAGTACAATTTAGAGAGTCAACTATATCTTAACATTAGTAGGGACATGTCGGTCGGGCAGCGGTTATTTGATAGGGGCTATAACTTTTGGACAAATATATTACCTAAACTTGTAAAAATGACAAAACCAGAAATGTCCAAAAAGGAAAACTATTGCGATAAAGAAGAATCCGGTTGTAGACCGTAGAAAAAACAAGTGCTTGTTTCACCTCGCCTATGCAAAATATCAAATATATATTCTGATAACATTTCTTCAGCGTATATTTCCATATATGACCATTTAGTGTGGGAATTTAATTCTGAAATCAGAATGTAATGAATGTAGTCAAATATTTTTAAAACGCACATGTTTATATTCATATTAATTTTCTTCTTGTATTTTTCTTTCATTTAGATCACAGGTGCTTGAAACAACCTTTTATATGTTCTTTATGGGCTATATACTATAATAAGATATCATTAAATAAATATAATTTTCCACGGTTGAGCGAAAGTGAATTATACGAAAATTATTTTCCATTGGTCGAATATAGTATCTATTGATAGATTTGTGCTCGAAGTTTTCGTGCTAAAGTAATGTTCAGCTTTGGACGATGGACTAGGCAATATCAGCTTAAAAAATTAAGAATTGACAAGAAATGTGTTTAGCATAAATGTTTCATTTTCAACCATATAGTTGTGATATATATTTTGTAAGATGATTTTATTATCTGAATTTAAGATTATTGTCTATGAATGTGTTAAAATGAATATATTTGTTAATATGCATTTATTATAGTAACTATGTATTGTTACATGTTATAATTGAAATGTGAATGTATTACACACTACACACTGATCGTCCAATTGCTCCATACATATAATACATTTTCAAATAGTATCATATTGTTTGTTGTTTATTGTAAGGATATAGTATGAGTTAAGAGGAAATATATAGGCCGATTATATAAAATATTTGATTATGTGACTAGAGCCTGTCATTCAAATAAGCATTTGTTTAAGACATCTAATGTACCATTGTAGTAAAGCAACAACGCATGGGGAATATGTGGACTTTGTGTGGACACCGTCAAATGGTACAATCCTCGCTTCAAATCGCAGCATATCGGGTGCGGTGTAAGGAGCGAAAACAAAACCATTACATTGAACCGGCAGTGCAAGACTGAAGTAAAATCTTGGTTCTTTTCCTTCATTATCCATTACAATTGAACAGGGATATAAAAACCGAAGTTCTTTCTATTCCACGGGAGTAGAGGCCGCTTTAAGAAAAGAATCGATTTAGATTATGAATCAGTCGCATGTGAACTGCCTTCCATTTCCGAATATGTATAAAGTGTTGGTTGTTACAGAGGAACTTGCTTACTTTTACTTAATCTTGTAACGATAACGATTTCTATCGGTACTCAAAATGGCTAAACATTATTCATTTTTTTATCCTCGTGTTGTATTTGTAATACCTAGAGTAGAAATATAAGTTTTCTGTCTGTATGTATGTTTATTTTTCTATCTGTCTGTCTGTCTAAAGATACTATTAACAGTGAGCTGCTTTTTTACATACAACACGATATGAATATTTTAGGTATCGGTCTAGTCAATTTTGTAGTCTCTGTTTTATAGTAAATCAGTCACCTTTGAGGCTTAAATCTGTATTCCACTGTGCTTTATGCATTTTTTACTGTATTCAACATCAACACTGTCAAAGTCTAATGAGGCCCTTAATATAAAATGTTAGCCATTTACTGTCTCTGGAGTCTGCTTAGGTAAGAACCCTACTGGAAATACAAGTGCTTACACTTTTGTGGGTTATCCTTGAAAGAAGATCAAATCATCCTCAATCCTTTCACCAACAAATAAGGTCCTGAACAACAAACACGCACGCACGCGCGCGCGCGCACACACACACACACACACGCTCACACACGAAACAAACTTTTAATCCATCAGATAACACACAAAAACGCCACAGATGCAATAAATACACTTTCATTATGACCAATCTAACTAGAGATGACTTACTTCACTTCAGTGTTGTTATAATTCTCTAGCACTTCGGGAACATTGATTCCAACACTTTTAAGTGTTGAAAATTGAGTACCGCTCAAGCCGGTTCTAGGGGGACATGAGGGATGTTGCACATTTTTCTAATCCGTCATGTACAGACTCAATAAACCGAGTCTGCAATTTCCATGTTATTTTGTTGCGATTAATACTTCCGAGGGATCCCACTTTATTCAGATTTTTAAAATGTGTCACTTCAAAATTTAAAAGAACTACTTTCAAGATTTGCCAATTAAGATCACGTAACATTTTAGATACACTACTGGTGTAATTGTAATCATTATATACATATCTGTATTAAGCTGGCGGCTGACCTTTGAACTTGTTCTATTTTGTAAACCAGATATTTTTATGGCAGTTTCTTTAACCTTTTATTGGAAGTTTTGACATTCTTTTTATAGATCTGAGAGAATTATTTGCTTTTGCTTTTGCAAGGTCCCAGGACAGGTAGGTTATCAGAGTTTTGACCATCAATAACAACCTGTTGAGTGCGACCATATAAAAATGATTTTGTCCGTGTGATGACCTCTGAGCTAACACCTAGTCTTTGTAGTTTAAGGAGAAGTTTGTGATGGTCGACTTAATTAAATGATTTGCTGAAACCCATGACAATGGCATCGGTCTGTTGGCTTTGCTCTAAATTGTCATGGACTTTCTGGGTGAAACTGATAAACTGGGTTTCCAAGCTATGTTTTGACCTAAAACCGTGTTGGAATTTGCTGAAGATATCATGCTTTTCATAGAAAGACATAATATTGGAGACAATTATATGCTCCATCAGCTTAAGGGCAATGCAGGTTAATGAAATAGGACTGTAGATGCCAGGCTTACATTTTGGGTCTTTCTTATAAACAGGGGCAATGACGTACGGCATGAGGGACAGTACCAGTTTTTAGGGAAATTTGGAAAATGTGTGTGAGAATTGGGGCAATTTCAGTATAAAATATGATAAACAAGATCAACAAGGAAAGGCGGCGTTCAATAAACGCAACCCCCACACGACCCAGCAAGAAGAACCAGTGGCAATGAGCCCAGAAGGACCCCAAGTTCTTTCAATAACCTTTGGACAGCTGATCGGGGCCAAAGGTTTTGCTTGGATTGAGACCTTTAAGGAGTTTCTTTTCTTCATCCTCTGTTATGTTGATATTTGGCATTTTTGGATAGTTTTTTTAAGTGAGCAATTGTTTGCATGACTGGTTAAGACTTAATAGTTAGGGGCGGAAGACGACAGACTCAAATTGTATTTAGTATGTCTGTCTTCATTTCAGGATCAGTAAAGTTTTGTCCATCACTTTTTAAAGGTGCTACTCCACAGTTTTCAGTTTTGTTTGACTTGATGAAAGAGTAGAACTTCTTACTCTTTCCTGGCTGTGAACGATCGGAGAAAATGACCATGCCTTGGTACAACAACTATGAGTTCCTTATTATCCCCCGCCGAAAAGGCGGCGAAGGATATAGAAATAGTCTCCGTCCGTCCGTCCTTCCGTCCGTCCGTCCGTCCTTCCGTCCGACATTTTTGTCCGGAGCATATCTCTAAAAGTATTTGAGTTATCAACTTGAAACTTCATAGGTGGATAGACCTTATTGAGGAGGAGTGCAGTGCACAAGAATAATAACTCTACCCTGCATAATTTTTGAGTTATTGCCCTTTGTTATTTTTCAAAATTGATTTTTGTCCAGAGCATAACTCCAAAAGCCTATGAGATATCAACATAAAACTTCATAGGTGCATATATCTCACTCAGGAGGTGTGCAGTGCACAAGAATGATAACTCTACCTTTCATAATGTTTGAGTTATTGCCCTTTGTTATTTTTCATACTTAATTTTTCACCTGAGTGGAGCAAAACTCAAAAGTTTTTGAGATATCAACATGAAATGTCATAGTTGGATAGATCTTATTGAGGAGGAATGTTGTGCACAAGAATGATAACTCTTCCCTATACAATTTTTGAGTTATTGCCCTTTTTCATGCTATTTTGTCCAGAGCTTATCTCAAAAAGTATTTGAGGTATCAACTTGAAACTTCATAGGTAGATGGATCTCATTGAGGAGGAATGCATTGCACAAGAATGATAACTCTACCCTGCATTATTTTTGAGTTATTGCCCTTTGTTATTTTTCAAAAGTAATTTTTGTCCAGAGCATAACTCAAAAAGCCTTTGAGATATCAAAATGAAACTTCATAGGTGCATAGATCTCACTCAGGAGATGTGCAGTGCACAAGAATGATAACTCTACCTTTCATTATTTTTGAGTTATTGCCCTTTGTTATTTTTCATGCCTAATTTTTCACCCGAGTGGAGCATAACTCAAAAGTGTTTTAGATGTCAACATGAAATGTCATAGGTGGATAGATTTTATTGAGGAGGAATGCTGTGCACAAGAATGATAACTCTTCCCTGTACAATTTTTGAGTTATTGCCCTTTGTTCTTTTTCATACTATTTTGTTCGGAGCTTATCTCAAAAAGTATTTGAGGTATTAACTTGAAACTTCATAGGTGGATGAATCTCATTGAGGAAGAGTGCAGTGCACAAGAACGATAACTCTACCCTGCATAATTGTTTAGTTATTGCCCTTTTTTATTTTTCAAAATTAATTTTTGTCCAGAGCATAACTCAAAAGGCCTTTCAGATATCATTATGAAACTTCATAGGTGCATAGATCTCACTCAGGAGGTGTGCAGTGCACAAGAATGATAACTCTACCTTTTATAATTTTTGAGTTATTGCCCTTTGTTATTTTTCATACTTAATTTTTCAATTCAATTTTTTTCTCAAAAAGTATTTGAGGTATCAACTTGAATCTTCATAGGTGGATAGATTTTACTGAGGAGGGATGCAGCACACAAGAATGATAATCTACCCTGCATTATTTTTCAGTTATTGTCCTTTGTTATTTTCAGCCATCAGTATTCACATAGGTTTCAAATCTGTAATCACTATAGCCATCAGTTTTCATTACCATAAGACTTATTCTGCTCTACTACATATACATTCTTCTCATGAGGGGGGATGGCCATGTTGACATGGCTCTTGTTTCTTTTTGGATTTTGCCTCTAAGCTTTTTATGCCCCCGCCATGTAATGGCCGGGGCATATAGTGTTACCCTGTTTCGTCATTCCGTCCTTCCGTCATTCCGTCCTTCCGTCATTCTGTCATTCCGTCATCATCAGTTTCCGTTCATTATCTTGAGAACGGTTACACACATTCAACTCAAATTTGACATATGGATATGTCATGAGAAAATACAGGTCAAGTTCGAATTTGATTATGGTTCGATGATTTTTGCCAGAGTTATGCCCCTTTTACATTGAAAATAATATGAAATTTTCAGTTTCCGTTCATTATCTCCCCAACGGTACAACAGATTCAACTCAAACTTGACATATGGATATGTCATGAGAAAATACAGGTCAAGTTCGAATTTGGTCATGGTTTGATGATTTTTGCCAGAGTTATGCCCCTTTTACTTTGAAAACAATAGGAAATTTTCAGTTTCCGTTCATTATCTCCCCAACAGTACAACACATTCAACTCAAACTTGACATATGGATACGTCAAAGGAATGCGCAGGTCAAATTCAAATTTGGTCATGGTTCAATAATTTTTGGCAGAGTTATGCCCCTTTCACTTTGAAAATAATATGAAATTTTCAGTTTCCGTTAATTATCTCCCAAACGGTACAACACATTCATCTCAAATTTGACATATGGATATGTTTTTGGAATGCCCAGGCCAAGTTTGAATTTGGTCATGGTTCAATGATTTTTGGCAGAGTAATGCCCCTTTCACTTTGAAAATAATATGAAATTTACAGTTTCTGTTCATTATCTACCCAACAGTGTTACATATTCAACTCAAATTTGACATATGGATATGTCAAAGGAATGGGCAGGTCAAGTTGGAATTTGGTCATGGTTTGATGATTTTTTGGCAGAGTTATGTCCCTTTCACTTTGAAAATAATATAGATACATCTTAGGAATAAACAGTTTAAGTTTGAATTTGGTCGTGGTTCAATGATTTTGGACAAACTTATCTTTCCTGAATGTTGGAAAAATTTTGAACTTTCAGTTTCAGCACTCATACTTTTGTGGAAATGTATGTAGCCATTATTTTGGCTACAAATATGCAATATTCTATTTTTAAAAGGTAAAGACTGAATAATTTCAGTGCCTTGAACATTGTATGAAAATGGTTTGTGTTAACATTGAAATGTGTTAAGGGCTTTGAACTTAAAATGAAAAAATAATTTGTGCAAACAAATTTGGAACTAAATATTATAACATCTGAAATTTTGGCTGCATGCGGGGGCATCCGTGGCATAATGACACATTTCTAGTTTTTATTTGCTAAGTAGGTCAAGGGACCGGGAGTACCTCTCTGTCAAAAGTTTTTGTATTTTGCGACAATGTTTACGTTGTCCTTGTTTTTTTTTATTGTTTTTGTCAAAATCTATCAAAGACATGTCAGCCTTAATGCCACTCATTTGTTGGTACCGACAATACTTTCGGGCGTCTCAGGTTTTGCATGCATGTCTTTTTAAATGAGAGTGATATAAATGGTGAGAAAACTGATTGAATTCGTTTGCTAAGAATGTTTGCTTTTTCAGTGAAAACTATTACTTTTGAGAGAGCCTGCAGTGAGTTTTGATCTTTTAATGGGGTGACCTTTTGTGAATACTTGTTAGAATTGTTGTTGTTGGGTTTTTGTTGTTTTTTTTAATAGAGTGGTACAGACTTTACTTTGTGTATTAGTTTCATCGTCATCTGGTTTTCTGAGTAAGGGTGATTGTTTACTTCTATAGCTTTAATTTGAGATTTTAATTTTTAAATTATACCAATTGATCATGATCTGACTTTTTTTTATTATGGCTTCTCTTTCATGGAGTTTGTGATGGTTTAAATAGCCGTGGTATGAATTTTGATATGTTAGCACACGGATTTATATTAATATAAATCCGTGGTTAGCAAAAACATCATCGAGCGTGTGTTTGAATTGGACCCAAAGGTCTGCAACATACAGAGATTTAGCTTTTGGAAGTATCTCTGATGTTGAGGTTTTAATAAAAATTTTAAACTCCTGGTCCAGGTACGTAGGTTTAGAATATATTTCAATCCACATAATCAAATATTTTACATATTTGGCCTATAAATGTACATGTATATGTATATGCCCATAAAGTATAGTTTGTTTCAATCTGTGGAGATGATGCCATGGCTTTCAAGATGAACAATTCTTTAATCAATTTACTGCTCATAATATGTAATATCTTAATATCAAAGCAAGTGGAAAGTAAAAAGTGGTAAATATGAAAGTTCTTGCTTTGATATTAAGACGGGATAACGTGACGTATTATACAGGGTTTCACGCACCTGCCAACCGATGGAAAAACGCCCAATGACTCTGATGAAAGCGTCAAAATGGCGGGGATCAATCGCGTTGGATCCCCAATGGATCTTATAGACGAAAGTTTTGAACAATCGAAGGAGAAACTTGAACAGAAAAAGAAGTCACTTATAATAGAGCAACGTGCAAAGTCTCGTATCCTTCAGTAAATTATTAGAGACGTTTAAACGACCTCTACATTCTCGTTGCTAAGGGTTTAGGGAACATGTAGGGTCAGTTCGTCCCATGGTCAACTCGTCCCGAGTCTTGTGACTTGATCTTCTTGCTCTTGATCTGTATACGTTGTGACGTCAAAGACATTGTTTACACCGGCCTTTGCAATTATCAAGCGGCTTAGGGCAAGATGATACCCTCTCTAATGATTTTTGCGATTGAACTGGATGTGTCCTTAAGGGTGTTTACATTATTTATCAAAATGTCTGGTGGTAGAGAGTTCCATTCTTTCACAGTTTTTGGGAAAAAGTATACTTTAACACATCAGTACGCGACTGGATACGTTACGTAAGAAATGTTGACTATGTTGGTTCTTGGTAGATCTTTTACTATGTTGTAAAATGTTTACAGTGTCTATTCTAGGAGGGGCGATGGGGGGATTCACCCCTATTTTTGAGAATTCACCCCTATTTTATGAGAGGAAGGGGGAAAATTTTACATAGACAAAGAAGGAAAAAGATCAACAAATGTAATAAATTCTCACTTTTCGATAAAAATCCCCCCTGTTTTTCGAATCCTAGAATAGACACTGGTTTATATTTATATGTGCTTGTTTGTTTACACCATTATTCATTAATATGAGTCTATTTTGTTGTCTTCATTCCTTAAGGGATGGTAGATTTAGTTCTTTCAAAAGTGTTGACATAGTACCAGGTTCATAGTTATAATTTGATGTTATAAATCTAACTGCTCTCTTTTGAACACTTTCTAATTTTCTTGCTAGTAAGTTTGATGCGGGGTCCCAAGCTGCACTACAATTTTCTAAAATGGTCTAATAAGTCCCTTTATATGCTTGCTAATTTTAACTTCTAGTGGGCAAGTTGATAGATTTTTTTCAAAGTCCCAGAGTTTTTGTATGCTTTTGTTTACAGATTTCTTCCAATGTTTTCCCAGTGCAAGCTTACTTCTTATATGGACACAAGATATTTTAAATAGATTGTAGAAAATTCCAGTTTGTCCCTTGTAATGTATATTTGTAAGAAATTATTTTCCTTTTTCTAGTTAGAGTCATCATGTTGCATTTTACCGGTTGAAACCTCATACCCCAAGTAGTTGCCCACTGTCCTAGCTTGTTAATGTCCTCTTGTAAAATTTCGCAGTCTTTTTCACTTAATATTTCTCTGACTTGAGTTACAATTGGTCAATTTTGACATATTTTAGTCATGCATCTAAACAACTATGTTTTAGTGACATGCCCATCCAAGGGTATATAGTGAGAGAACAGTTTAAAGTCAAAATAAGTTTACATTTTGCCATAATAACTTGTAGGGGCAATATGAACAGTAATTTTTCTCACTTAATTGGGAAGAGGCCTTGGCAGTTTTCCCAAATATCTGAACTTAACCCTGCTTTTTTACTTCCCAAATTAGCAATTTTAGCAGACTTCCCGAAAGTTAGAAAAAAGTGTCAGACATTCGGTCTGACAAACCATGAAAATCTGTCAGACCGAAATGAAATTAATAAAAATCAAAGGAAAACTAATGTGTTTGTATTTCTAAGCCACTTGTCGCTTTTAATTTTTTCGCTGTAAAAATAGGTACATTTCATACAGCGCATTTTCACCTCCTCCCTGTGATACACCAACGATACACGGTCCTGCTTCCATTTTTCATTAAATTTTGTCTCAGGTCTAGTCCTTTCATCCTTTTACTGCTGTTCTGCACCCTCCTCTGATGTCGATTTTTGTTTTTTCCCAGGTTTGGCACCTTAAACGACTCCATTTTGTAAAAATGCGTCTTTGATAAAAGCCGAACGGTCAGACCGATCCAGAATGAAAAAATTGACGGACCTAATTAAAATTTATCAGACATGTACTCCGGGAAGTCTGTTTTAGCGTTAATTTTTCCCAAAATCAAGAGGCTAAGGCCTCGTGCCAATTAAGTGAGTAAATCCACTGGTTTGAACCATTTAAATACATTAAAATCATATAATTAATGTCTTATTGAATATTGGTAAAATAGAATAATGTGTGTATGTTTTTTGCAATTCTTATAACATTGTTAAGTTTGCAAGCATTCAAGCAAATACAAATTGACTTTTTTCTCAACAATGAAACTGGATGATGACCCATAAAATAATGGTATTGTATCTCAATTTGGCATAAAATCAAATGGACTGTTTCTGAATTGCCTCTTTTTTCCTTTTGCAAACAATTTTCCACTCTTTATGGGCCCCTGCCACCATTGCCCTAAAAGTAAAAAAAGCTGCTGGACTATAAAACATGTACATGATTACTAAATAATCATTTGCTTATATTACTGCAATATCAAAGAAAATGAAAAATAAGACAAAGTGAATTTATCCTTTACATAAACATTAGCATTTTTGATTGGCTCTATCGAAGAAGTGAATAAGAAGATAAGTAAATTAGACAGAAAGTTACAGAGGTACACCCAGCTTGTAGTGGAGAGTAGGGCTTCAGATAATCAGGAAGAACAACTTCTTCGTAGTGACAGACCAAGAAGTTCTGTAGGAAGAGCGATTATAGAAAGGAAAGGTTACAAATTAAACAAGTTCTTATTAGATCTGTTATTATCAATAAATTATCTATTTATAAGTTACATGTAGAATATGGCCCAAATTGACATTTAGAGACATCATAGTCCTTATCAAATACCGGGTACGTTATTATCTTTAAATAATCCATAAATTACATGGAGAATAAAGCCCAAATTGACATTTCAGAGGCATCATGCATTCTTTTGGTATATGCATTTTCAACAGACTTTTTCACTTGAAAAAGGTCTTCAGCATGAATAACACTCAGTTCAGAAAACTGGAACAGCTTCTATCTGAGTGTGTTGATACTATAATGCAATTCTTATTTTGCAATGATTTATATAACAGTTTACTATATTCCAATGGAACATGCTCTAAGCCATTAAACAATCTTTTTGTGCATATTTTATTAAGTTTTGAATAAGAATTTTTTTGAGAATAAATAGGTGAATGTTGGGTGGCAAACAGCTGGTTCTAAACAGTTTCTTCAGTGTTCATCTCCTTTTACATTTTGTACATGTGCAATTCTCAAAGGATCAAACCTTCACATGATGACTGCCATTAAGTACTTCCCTGGCACATATTACTGGAATTATATGATTTGATCATTTTTGACAGACATATAGCCCATTGTGTGTGTTTCTTTTATATACATGCACTTGTTTCATTATGTTTTTAAACAGTACTTGTATCTGAACAATGAATTCATATTTTTGTCAGAGAGAGAACAGAAAGAATTAAACAGATTTGCAGGATACTACACCCTTAAGCAGAGTGAGTAATTTATTCTATGTTTGGAAAATTGAAATTAATATTATATCACATTAGTTGTAGTTGATATGTTTTGATATATTAAAGTAGTTTTAATATTGACTTTAAACATATATGAACCACATAATTAAATGTGAAATATAAATATGTTTTTAGTTGAAAAGAATGACTGTATTACCTTTTTGAGCAATATTTAATTCACTTAACTATTTCAATGATATTTTGATTATGGTAGGTAACGTTATGATTTCTTATTGTTGCAGCATTTTTACCTGGAAGAAGTGAAAGAGTGAAAAACATATCAAAGATAAGTTTATCTCCAAGTAAAACACAGGTAGGTGTTCACAAAAACCTACAACAAAAAAACAACTCAATCTTATAAAAAAAAATAGTGAGGATGCGTGATAAAAGTACTTTTTTATGGTGGAATATTTTCACAGATGAGATAAAAGATATGACTTCTTGAAATTTGTGTTATTGGAATGCTTTTTTACTTACATTAAAAGAATAAATTTGCATCATTTTGAACATTATGATAAATAAAAGGACAATAATCTATTAATCCTAAAATGACTAATGCCATTTATTTTGTTTTATTTCAGGCCAAAAAAGATACAGGCAAACCAAAGTTTGTTGAGGTATGTAAAATGAAAATAAAAGAAGAGTCACTATCTATATATGTATTACATAGAAGTTTGTTTAGCGATGATTAAGTTTTGTAAAAGTTTTAAAAATCTGAAAACATACATTTATGATCATAAAAGATACAATGTTCTTGATACCAAACAAGATGTATTACCACAAGTAACATGTACTTGACAGGTACAAGATCAATTTCAGAAAGCTAAGAAACATGCATTTTAGATTATGATTGAAAATTGATTTTTATTCCTGAAAATAGAGGTTTTAAGAGAGGTGTTTGAGTTGATTTATTATTGTAATATTGTAGTTACATCAATATCCGGGTTATGACCCTACAGAACTATCAGATCTACCTGATGAAATACCTGCCAGAGAAATGCTGAAGAAAAGCAGCGTCTGCAACCATGGACCTTGGTAGAAAAGTAAGTATTAAATCAAATCTGCTGAAAGAGAAACCATTTAACCAGGGATCTTAGTGGAAAATGAAGTATTAAAGCAATCCACCAAAAAATGTAACATGCGCCTTTGTAGAAAAGAACAAGTAAAGCTCATTAGAATTCATTAAAGTTGAAGTATGAAGTGAAATATTGTTTCTTTGCTTCTCAAGCAAATTAAGGGGTTATTTGGTTTTAAAAAGTTATATTTAGAATAAGGTTATGTCATAGGAAATGGAAACTTCATTACTCTTTAAGAACACTTACCATTTCATTAAGAAAAAAATAGAAAGTTTTAATTCATTTTACTTGTAATTTGTTTATTATGTATATTGACTAATACATTTCAGCCCCAGTATCGTCCTGACTTTGAACAATGGTTTTATTCTCCAATGTCCCAAGCTGTGTTTCAGGTACCAGTATATAATGTTTTACATGTGAGCCACACCAGGACAAAACCAACATAGTGCGTTTGCGACCAACATGGATCAAGATCATAGACCAGTCTGCCCATCCGCCCAGTCTGTTCGCTTACCAACCCTATTACAAGTAGAGAAACTGATAGGGAACAGCATTGATCCTGATCAGACTGCGGGGATGCGCAGGCTGGTCTGGATCTATGCTGGTCGCAAACGCACTATGTTAGTTTTGTCGTGACGCGGCTCATATGTCTTTTCAGCTTATGCCAAATCTTTTGTATACACAGAGTGGAGTAGCCTTGACATGGTGAAAATAAATCTAATTGTACTTCCTATTGGAAAAGTTAGCAATCATTAATACATTTATTTCAATAGAAAAGTAACAGTGTACCCTTGCATTTAATAACATTTTAATAGAAATAGTGGACAACTTTAAAACAATTTTTAAGATCTTATTTAAAATTTTTTGCTATGTTGCAAAACAGTTTTTATTTACATTTTCCTCAAATAGGAAATACAGTGTTTTCTTATCTCTGTATACAAATAATAGACTGTACAACTGTTGTCTGTAGTTTACCAAGTTTTGATATCATGTAACCAAACTCGTCAATAAATTTAATAGCTGCCTTTTATATGTTAAAGCGATGTCACATGCGTTTTTTTATATTATTATTTTGGTTAGATTTGGTAATGGGACTGATACCTTTAATGATTTTTTATTGTTGGTCATTGCTTATTTAAAGTTTAGATATTGTTTAATTTGGATAAAATTAATAATGTCCATGGCATTGGGATAAACTATTTCAAGCTTGTCAGCTCTGTCTATATATAAATAAGATACATGGTGTCGGATTCCTGGCCTAATTTGATATTGACTAAAGGTTCCCGTCATGTCACAGTATAAACCAAGTACTACTATATAGTTCAAGGTAATGACATACTCATGCTGTTACGTTTCCCCTTATAATTTCAACAACTGCACAAATCGAAACATAGCAATTTTTTGGTTATTCTTAAAGTATGCTGTGCACAGCTGACCGTTAATTTGCAGCCATTATTCGCTTGTTTCCAACTTGTACATCATAAATATATGCAGTAATCATATACAAACACATTGATAGATTTTGTGGATTGGAAAACAAGTAGGCATGACTTATTTAAAATCCTTTCAAGTACAGTAATCTTGAAAAATACATTTACAATTCATGCATGTTTAAGAAGTTTTTTTATTTGATTATGTATGTAAATAGGTGTACCGACATAATCTCCTTCGGACAAAATCCCCTTCGCATACCCGGACAAAATCAACTCCATAGATGGACATAATCCAATTCATGTTTTTGCAAGGCTGGACAAAATCCCCTTACCTACCCGGACAAAATCCCCTTGCTTCATAGGTTTCTAATGTATTATTATGCTCCATAAAGAAAGGCATTTTGTCTGACATTATGTAAATCACATGAAATATATTTACTTCACTTTTAGTTTGAGTATGAAATGAAATTTGTGAATAATCTTATTTATCCGCAGCAAAGTTATGGGTTTCAGTTTTTGTTCAATTGCTTGACAAATTTATGTATTATGTTAATGTGATATGTAGAACAAAAAACAACTATAGGTTACATGAATAATCTTTTCTGTCTGTCATTATGCATGCTTTAATAAATCCACCTAGATTGAGAGACAAGAATAAACATTTTGTAAATAGATGAAGTTTGGTGATGCTTGAGATGAGGAGAGATGTAAAATATAAACACACACACTCATTAATATAAAGCTGCATAAAAACCATAGTGACTTGCTAATTTAAGAAATAATATATCCCAAACAGTGATTTTTTGCTCAATTAAATCATGGTTTGGAGTTTGAATGAAAGGAATTATATCAACTTTGCCCTTGTGATATGATGATTTGCATTCTAACAACATACAGTGATTTTATGAAGCGATGAAATCACTGATTTGGATATAATATTCCGATTCTAACACAACATAAACAAATAAATGCTGCTGATCCTGATATTAAGCTAAATTGCGCATGATTAGTTTCCGTACTTATTTTCAGTCTTCCGCATTTTTAATGGTCACCTCACATGTTTAACGATTAAGTCACATGTCTAAATATAGAATGTCAACAGTGATTTAATTGCATAATAACACACACTTACACTTCTTCTATGTTCAATAGGGAAAAATGCGGGTCGTGTTAGATTTGTTAATATTAATATAAATAACTGTTTATATACATGTATGTTTTCAGGACATATTTTGGTACCTATTCCTAGAGAAGTTTCAGGCCAGTAAGAATGCTCAAATCAAATTGTTTAACAGAACTGCCTTTAATTATGTGAAGCTAATGTGGTATGTCAAAAACCCTGCCTACAGAGATGTATTCTTTAAGGTAATTATAAAAACATGTATATATTTATTTTGTTGAGCATTTGAACAACTAGTTTAAGTGTTTTATGACTTTTTAGCTTGAATATTCGATAAAAATAAGTAGAGCTATTTTAGTCACCCCTGTGTCGGTGTCGGCATAACCACTTATGTTAAAGTTTTTAGTAACACCTCAAATATTTATAAAGTCCATTGATAAATGGCTTTGAAACTTTGCACCTAACCACCATCATACCCACACCTGTACACAGAAGAAGGTAACTCTATCAAGCATTCTGACAGGATTATGTCCCTTTTTCGACCTAGAATTTACATATCACATCAGATATTCTTATATTCCATTGACATCTGGCTTTGAAACATGTTAAAATTTTATACATTTCTTTGATGGAATAATAGGACTCTCTCCAAGGCCTATAGCTGTAACATGGATTTAAAGAAAAATTTGGCCCTTTTGTTTACTTAGATAATTTTACATTATCAAGGCTCTTTTACTATCAGGCATTAAGAATAGTCGAGCATGTTGTTCTACCGACAGCTCTTGTTTATTTTAAAAGACAAAACCTATTATTATGCCCCCACTTCGAAGAAGAGGGGGTATATTGCTGTGCACTTGTCGGTCCGTCCTGTCCGTCGGTCTGTCCGGTCCGTAGACCAAATGGTTTCCGAGTGATAACTAAAGAACCCTTAGGCCTAGGAACATCAAACTCGGTATGGTGATTGGTCATGACCAGTAGATGACCCATATTGATTTTGAGGTCAAGGGTCAAAGGTCAAGGTCACATTGACCTTGTAGGTAAAAACAGTTTCCGATCAATAATTAAAGAATGCTTAGGCCTAGGAACTTCAAACTTGGTAAGATGATTGGTCATGACCAGCAGATGACCCCTATTGATATTGGGGTCAAGGGGTCAAAGGTCAAGATCACATTAACCTTGTAGGTAAAAACGGTTTCTGATCAATAACTAAAGAATGCTTAGGCGTAGGAATTTTTAAACTTGGTATGATGATTGGTCATGACCAGCATATGACCCCTATTGATTTTGGGGTCAAAGGTCAAGGTCACATTGACCTTGTAGGTAAAAATGGTTTCTGATCAATAACTAAAGAACCCTTAGGCCTAGGAACTTCAAACTTGGTATGATGATTGGTCATGACCAGTAGATGACTACTTTTGATTTTGGGGTCAAGGGGTCAATGTCATAGTGACCTTGTACTTAATGACCGTTTCTGACCAATAACTCGTCAACTCAAGTTGCCTTGGTTGATATTTTTATGTGCTTTTGGTATACACATTTGAAGATCTTGTGTAATATATTGTGTAATATAAGAACTTGGCTGTCATTAATGAGGCCTATGTGAGTCATAAAATTTATGTATATATTATTTGGTAAGATTTTTAATAACTTTAATTGCTGCACACAACCTATGGGGTCACAATAATTATTACCTTGTGACTATTCATGACCAGTAGATACTAGATAACCCTTATTAATTGCTTGTTCACTGGGTCAGAAGTCATGCATAATAACCTGATCACATAACAAATTGGCTGCCGATAGGGGGCATACATGTTTTACAAACATATCTTGTTTATAATTTAGTATAAACTATCCTAGAGTCATTAGTTTTGACGCCCTTAAGCTGTTTAACTAGTGCATTTCTTTATATTGAACCTGATCATTAAATAATATACAATATAAAGTAACTATGGCATGTTGTTAATCACTGCAAACCATTTTTATGTTTGTTAAAATTCAAAATCAGTTAAGTTTTGTACTTAACTAAACAGACTGTGGAGGCATCCATTGTTGTTTACAGTCATATGAAATGACGCCTTTTCATTGGGTGGTTATTTTAAAAGGATATTTCACTGTAATGAAGTATGAACAGCAAAAGAAGTTTTTAAATGAGCAAACCTGCAATGTAACAACATCGTGAAAACTTAAAATTATAATATATTTCATATAAAACTATCCATTATTTAGGAATGTCATACACCCTGGCAGTGGTCTTATTAGGTGCACCTGTCTCTTTAACCTTGAATGTATTTACCATTAATCTTGATGAATAGCATCTGTATTTGGCTTAAAGGGCTGAAAAATATATCTAAAATGAATGCTGTTGTAAAGATATGTATATGTTTATTTGAAAAATGATTTTTTTCTTTCTTTTTTTAAACTTTATATACAATAATTAATCCATTATGAATTTTACTCAGTATCAATTAAAAACCAATTAACGTTTTCAAACAATATAAGCTGTACACCTTATGATACAGTGAATATTAAGGACACTTTGCAAAGTTTTGGTCACATGACACTCATTAGACATTTTAAAATGGAGGATAGAAACAGAAAAGGGCAGGTCAAGATTTCACAAAGGCTATATTTGCAAAATTATGGCTTGCATAAACTTCAATTGAATTTGCATTAGTAAAAAGATGAAAAAATACAGTACATATGATAAAGGTGAAGTATTTTCAGTGAAATATCTCTGTCTTTCCACATGTTTTAGTTATACGTTGTAAATACATGCTTGCAGTGCAGTCAGCAAATTATGACGTCATACGAGGTCGTTTTCATCATTTTTTAGGTCAAAACAAAAATGGCGTCAAAATAGATGAGCGTCAAAACACATGACCCGACGATACATATAATTTTTAGCTCAACTATTCCTAGAAAAGTGGACTGTGATACCATAATATCAATGTAATAGTTTAGGTGTTTCATATCATTATAATTACTGAAACTATTAATGTGAACATTCACACATGACTTTGAGATTACAAATAACATAACTACCATTCTTGTTGCATATATAGATTCGCCCCTTGTCTGTTCATCTGTCACGTTACTGTATCTTGTTATGCAACTGTCAAGTTGTCTGTCTGTAGACTGACAATACAGTAGAGTATGGTAAAATCCATGGACACATTTCTAGTTACTTTATTATTTCCCTTTGTAAATTCTCGCAATATACAGACTATTGTTTACTGTTTGACAGCTTTTTTTAGCTCACCTGTTTGTCAAGGTGATAGCTCGGATGAGTTCGAACATGGGTCATCTCGGATGAAAAAGTAGGTCACCGGAGCTAAAAATAGAAAAACCTTGTGAACACTCTAGTGGTCACATTTTTTAACCAATCTTCATCAAACTTGGTCAGATTGCTTGTCTAGTCAATTGTTTGGATGAGTTCGAACATGGGTCATCTCTGATGAAAAACTAGGTCACCAGAGCTAAAAAAAGAAAAACCTTGTGAACACTCTAGTGGTCACAGTTTTGACCCAATCATCATCAAACTTTGTCAGGATGCTTGTTTAGATAATAGCTCGTATGAGTTCGAATATGGGTCATCTCGGATGAAAAACAAGGTCACCGGAGCTATAAATAGAAAAACCTTGTTAACACTCTAGCGGTCACATTTTTGCATCAATCATCATCAAACTTGGTCAGGATGCTTATCTAGTTGATAGCTTGAATGAGTTTGAACATGGGTCATCTCGGATGAAAAAGTAGGTCACCCGAGCTAAAAATAGAAAAACCTTGTAAACACTCTAGCGGTCACATTTTTGCATCAATCATCATCAAACTTGGTCAAGATGCTTGTCTAGGTGATAGCTCGGATGAGTTTGAACATGGGTCATCTTGGATGAAAAAGTAGGTCACCGGAGCTAAAAATAGAAAAACCTTGTTAACACTCTAGTGGTCACATTTTTGCATCAATTGTCATTAAACTTGGTCAGGAAACTTGTCTAGGTCATTGCTGGGAATAAATCGAACATGGGACATCTCGGATGAAAAACTAGGTCACAGGAGCTAAAAATAGAAAAATCTTGTTAACACTCTAGTGGCTACTGTTGTGATCCAAATATTCTGTTAATTGGTCTGAAAGTTTGTTTTGATGATTTCTAAGTCAAGATCGAACATGGGTCATCTTGGATGAAAAACTAAGTCACACCGCCCAAATATGGAAAAACCTTGTTAACATTCTAGTGGTCACATTTTCGACTCAATTATCATCAAACTTGGTCAGGATGCTTGTCTAGGTAATTGCTTGGATGAGTTCGAAATCGCATGTGAAACTAGGTCACAGGAGCTAAAAATAGAAAAATCTTGTTAACACTCTAGTTGCTACTGTTTTGATCCAAGTATCCTCGAAATTGGTCTGAAAGTTTGTTTTGATGATTTCTAGGTCAAGTTTGAATATGTGTCACCTGGGTAAAAAACTAGGTCGCACTGCTCAAATATGGATAATCCTTGTTAATACTGTAGTGGTTTCATTTTTGACTCACCTGTCATGAGACTTGGTCAGAATGCTTGTCTAGGTAATTGTTTGGATGAGTTTGATAAGTCAGGTGAGCGATCTAGGGCCATCATGACCCTCTTGTTTATATTTTCATCCATTATTTAAAAAAACAACTATGATTAAAATTGTTCTAGGATTATCCAAGTCTAATATCTCAGGCAGTATATGCAGCATATTGTCACTGTTTCCCGGATTCTTATCGTCAATTTGGGGAAGATTTCAAAGAAGACCTAGCAAGTTTAGTGTATGGATGGATAGCAGGTACGGTTATATGTATAATCTCATCTTAATTATTTCTACTGTTTGAATAAATAATTATTTTGATTTATTGTATATTTATCACTTATATTTAGATAAAGGGAGATGAGACAAATATATTTTATGTATAGAAGTTGATATGTTACAGTATTTTATACTTGAAGGTATAAAGCCAGCACCAAGGATATGGTTGAAATGGAACATGGAGAAACTAGAACCTCCAAACATCAAAATGAGGGAGGAAATAATGAATGCCACAAAGAAAAAATGTATGCTATTTTTGTATGAAGAATGAAAAGACATTTAATTTTAGTCAAAAAAATAGAAGAATGACATTTACAGAAAATGTCTTTCAAATCATGATAAATTTTCTTAACAAAAAATATACAAATATAAGAATCTAACTCTGGCTGCTGGAACAGACCGGAATATCTTGCTATAGGGTAACTGTTTATGGCGGTAACAGTTACCCTCAAGCTAGACATTTCTGGCTGTACTGGCAGCCGTTGTTTAATTTTTCTTCTTGGATATTACATCAATTGTATTTTGGAAAGAAATAATGAAAACTACTATTTTCATTTAGGACTTGTTTCTTATAGTAGCATATGAATTTACAACTTCAATCATATTTACAAAATGACAACATCCTAAGAACACAATTCATTCTTAAAATGTGTGTGGGAATGACATCAATTAAAACAGGCAACTTGTCTTACATTGGGGGTGTAAGGCAGGTTTTTCTAGCACCAGTGTAAACAGTAGATAATCCTGTCTGATATGCAAGAATGATATTTTATTGCCTTAAGCAACCAAGGATCACCTATACAGTTGTTAAAACTTTGTTTATAAAAGACTTATTCCAGGGTAAATTGGAATATTTTGAAAAACAAAATATTTGACTACATTTTCTTGTAGTATTTTGAATCATGTTTGTAGAGATATTTCTACTTTATGTTCCAGCATCAACATCAGTTAACTTTGACTTCTTGGATTCTCTCATCTCCAGTAACATCAGTAGATATGCCTCATCAGCATCTCTGTCTCAGACAGCCTCCAATCTGTCGGCCCACTCTAGACGTACAAGAGGTAGGAGAAAGGGCAAGATGTCCAAGGACAGTTCGGACAAACGAAGTGGGTCAAGTAAAGTACCATCATCATCAGCGTCCTCTTCATCACATGATGGCAAATGTAAGTTAACTTTTCTTCTACATTTACTTACCGGTACAAGTATTCTTTGTTTTCCACTTTACAGATTAACAATCTTTCTAACACAATAATGGTTTGTTTTGTTTGTTTTTTTAAAATAGTAGCAGAGATTGCTGAAGTTAAACCAATTACCAGCAGTCCTCACAAACGAGGAAAACAGCCAAAACCTGTAGATCCACGTAAACTGGTAGAGGCATTGACTCCTATAAGGGAGACAACTTTTGAAGAGTATGATGATTCACAGCGAGATAAGATGGAGAGCCAATCAGAGCAAGTCATCAAAATGATGGCCGCAGCTCACAAGGAACCAAAACCTAAGGAGGAGGTATGGTATAATTCTATAAAATATTCTCATGTATTCTATTTTACCTTAGTTAACTTGCAGATCAGTTACTTTCACACAAAAAACCTACTTTGAATTAAAATAAAATCAATATCTCATGCATGGAAAGGTCTGCACAGCTTCTTTACTTATACTATTTAATATGATTTCGTTTTCCACATCAGCAAACACAACTTCAGTTTTTGGCCGGGTTGCACTGGTGCAAACCCGGGTTATAGTATGGTTAATGTTGGGCGGCTGGCGGGTGGGTGGGGAAAAAACTTTCGTAACAGTTTTCTCAGCAACTAATTATCACAGCCTCTTGATATTTGGTATACAGAATCAACACATGATCCCATACTGTGGGATACGATTTCAGGTCTGTCACTCATCCACTTCCTGTTTGCCGACTTAGTTAAATTTTTAACATTAATGGTCAATAGTAGGAAATTTTCGTAACAGTTTTCTCAGCAACTAATTATCACAGCCTCTTGATATTTGGTATACAGAATCAACACATGATCCCATAATGTGGGATACGATTTCAGGTCTGTCACTCATCCACTTCCTGTTTGCCGACTTAGTTAAATTTTTAACATTAATGGTCAATAGTAGGAAATTTTCGTAACAGTTTTCTCAGCAACTAATTATCACAGCCTCTTGATATTTGGTATACAGAATCAACACATGATCCCATACTGTGGGATACGATTTCAGGTCTGTCACTCATCCACTTCCTGTTTGCCGACTTAGTTTAAATTTTTAACATTAATGGTCAATAGTAGGAAATTTTCGTAACAGTTTTCTCAGCAACTAATTATCACAGCCTCTTGATATTTGGTATACAGAATCAACACATGATCCCATAATGTGGGATACGATTTCAGGTCTGTCACTCATCCACTTCCTGTTTGCCGACTTAGTTAAATTTTTAACATTAATGGTCAATAGTAGGAAATTTTCGTAACAGTTTTCTCAGCAACTAATTATCACAGCCTCTTGATATTTGGTATACAGAATCAACACATGATCCCATACTGTGGGATACGATTTCAGGTCTGTCACTCATCCACTTCCTGTTTGCCGACTTAGTTAAATTTTTAACATTAATGGTCAATAGTAGGAAATTTTCGTAACAGTTTTCTCAGCAACTAATTATCACAGCCTCTTGATATTTGGTATACAGAATCAACACATGATACCATACTGTGGGATACGATTTCAGGTCTGTCACTCATCCACTTCCTGTTTGCCGACTTAGTTAAATTTTTAACATTAATGGTCAATAGTAGGAAATTTTCGTAACAGTTTTCTCAGCAACTAATTATCACAGCCTCTTGATATTTGGTATACAGAATCAATACATGATCCCATACTGTGGGATTCGATTTCAGGTATGTCACTCATCCACTTCCTGTTTGCCGACTTAGTTAAATTTCCTACATTAATGGTCAATAGTAAGAAATTTTCGTAACAGTTTTCTCAGCAACTACTTATCACAGCCTCTTGATATTTGGCACAAGGCATTAACATATGGTCCCATACCGTGGGAGATGATTTCAGGTCTGTCGCTCATCCACTTCCTGTTTGCCGACTTAGTTAAATTTTCTACATTAATGGTCAATAGTAGGAAATTTTCGTAACTGTTTTCTTGGCAACTACTTATCACAGCCTTTTGATATTTGGTATACAGCATCAACACATGGTCCCATACTGTGAGATTCAATTTCAGGTCTGTCACTCATTCACTTCCTGTTTGCCGACTTAGTTTGATTTTCAGCATTAAATTTTGACATAATTAATGATCAATAGATAGAAGGAAATTTTCGTAACAGTTTTCTCAGCAGCTACTTACCACAGCCTCTTGATATGTGGCTCACAGCATTGACATGACTGTGGTCCCATATGTGGGATTCCATTTCAGGTCTGATGCTCATTCTTTTCCGGTTTACCAACTAAGTTAAATTTTCAACATCAATGGTCAGACAGTGGTAGAAAATTTAAGTAACATCACAGAGGTTTTTTTTATAGTTAAGACATTTAAATGTATTTTATCTCTGGTTTCTGAATGTTCATAGACATAATGTTTTGCATAAAAATTATTTGTTATGCATTAAGTGTTTTCGTATTCAGTAAGATATCATCACAAAGATAAGAATGTTATCATTTGTTTTCAGTCCCATCCGGCATGTAAAGGGGCAGACACTACCAAGTCATTGTACAACTTGTACGGACAGAGCCCCCTAGTGGCTCATTTTCTACGTGTGAAAAATCTTACACGAGATGCTGGACAAGTGTTCCTGGTACAGAGAACAGAGGAACAAAATTTACCTCCATATCCTTTTATATATTATATTGTTATTTCTTGTGAATGTTATTGAATGATTTCTTGTTATATTGATTTATTTTATGCTTTCCAGTGTTTTACTGTAATTTATCAGATGATTATATTCTGATAAACCACTAGTGAAATTTATAAAATATAATTTATACTGTAGCCAGACTATATCTGAAAAGAATATCATAACTAAATGGAATAACATGCAAAAATAAATGCCATCATATGTAAATTTTGCTTCTATAGGAACAGCAAGTTGTAAAAAATGTTACAAAATTACAGAAATTTAACAGAACTATATTTCAAAATTGATGATGTGACCTCGTTATGTGTTGACATAAAGGATAATGCACAACATTACATGGCAAAATCAGTAAAAAATACTTAAAATCACTAAATAAATATGAAATAAAAAGAAAATTTATTTGTTTTACATAAAAAATTGAAATATATTTCATTTGTGAACACCAGCTATTCTATTTTCACTCTTGGCTATGCCACTCATGAAAATATTGCATCTGGTGTTCACTCGGTGAAATATATTTCAATCTTACATGCAAAACAAACAAACAAATATCCTCTATATCTAAAAACATTTCATGATACATTATAAAGTGTGCTCTCAATCAACATTGTAGTAAAGTGTTTAAAAGTTCATTGTTGTTCTGTATATGATGCTGACATGAATAAACATATGAGCCGCGTCACGACAAAACCAACATAGTGCGTTTGCGACCAGCATGGATCTGCGCAGTCTGATCAGGATCCATGCTGCTCGCTATCAGTTTCTCTACTTGTAAAAGAGTTGGTTAGCGAACAGCATGGATCCTGATCAGACTGCGCGGATGCGCAGGCTGGTCTGGATCCATGCTGGTCGCAAACGCACTATGTTGGTTTTGTTGTGACGCGGCTCATATATGTTGTTGTTGTTGTAGAAAGTTTATTCATGATTAATTATCGAACATATGTGCTATGTACTTGAAAAAGAAAAAACTATCCAGGTTTTGTGCTTGCTTATACATGTATTTTAAAAAAGAATTTTTATTTGCATATGACCATGATCACATCTTTATTATCACACCTAACTAATAAAATATTTTTTTTTGAAAGCTACTTGATGACAGTTATCTAGAAAATTATGTTGAGCTAAAGTTGTGATTGCAAATATGAGAGTGAATAAGAACATATTGTTTACATGAGGTCACCACCTTGAAAGACAAACAGTAACTTCAGTAAGGTTTTATAATATTGAAATTCCTTGACTGTTGTCACATTAGGTGCCCCTACATACAAAGATGTGATACGAGAAAGTTTCAAGAAAGTTAGAGATCAGGAGAAACAATATCAGGAGTAAGTATTTTGTACTTACATATACTATACAAGTACTTCATATTTGTTGAGAATTTTTTTTTTGCCATAATACAGAACTTAAGCTTGCCAAAGTAGCTGAATATTTAGGTAGCTTGTAAGATGGTTATGACTACAAATATAGAGTGTAAATTGCTTTTATCTTGGTTTGGGAAATAATGTGTAAAGGCAGTATGTAGGAGGTTGGTTGTATATTTACAAAAAGATTTACTATTACCATTAGTGATGGAATTTCTTTTGCATTCATTTTTGATAAATTCTGTAATTTTCAATCTAGAGCAAATGTACACATATCTGTATTGCGATGTAAATGTATAGAAGAAGACTACAATATTCTATAATTTCATTTGAAAAATACAATTTTCTGATGTTAGTATTTCTTATTGCATTTACTTTAAAAACTTACTTAAAGAAGAGAATTACATCCTAATTATATATCAACATCATACATATTATTCCTATATTTAACAGTACATTAAGGAATTAATATGGTTGGTCTGAATTAAGAAGAAATAAGATACATTTCCTTATTTAACCGTTAGGTGGATCAGCCTCAGAGATATGACCAAAAATAGGTTCAAAATTTCTGTTAAAAGCCTACAAAAAATTTTAAGTAGGTTAATTAAGAAATAATATATCCAAAACAGTGATTTTATCGCTCAATAACATCACTATTTGGAGTTCTGATGAGAGGAATTATATCATGAGGGCACTAAGCCCGAGTGATATAATGATGCACATACGATGAACTGTGATGAACAGTGATAAAATCACTGTTTTAGATTAATTATTTCAATTCTAACACAACATCAACAAATAAATGCTGCCGTACCTGATAGTAACCTATATTGCGTCTGATTTGTTTCTGTACTTATTTTCAGCGCATCACATTTTTAGTGGTTACGTCACGTGTAAAATGATTACGTCACATGTCTAAATATAGAACGTCAAACTGTGATTTTATTGCATAATAACACACACTTTCGGTTCTTCTATGTTCAATGGGGAAAAATGCGGGTCGTGTTAGAATGTTCCTTCAAGTATAATGTTTGAAATACATATTTTTGTATTGGATACCAATTGTGGGCATTTTTTTGTAGTTTTGAACAACATTAAACCAACTAGAACATTTTTTCCAAGTTTATTATTACACTAATTAGTTTGTAAATTAGGTATTTTTCAGAAATACATGTCTGTAGGAAAAGGAATAAGTTAGGATTTACTGTCTATAATGAATCAGTATCTGATATAATACAAAAAAACAACAATAATGTCAATAAATCACATATAGTATATATTATAGTAATTGTCAAATGAATCAAAGGTTACCCGAAGCTCATTATGCTGATTATATTTGGAAAAAAAAATACTAGAAGAAGAAATTATATATCCAGAATCTGATGTAAATAATATATTAAGTTTACATGTAATTCTCATTTAACATATCAATCATATACAAGTCAACAGAACACCATCCTTGAATAAAACAAGAAAATCAAGATTCGAAGTGAATTCTTTTCTGCAAAATAAAATTCTGCAAAATTTAGAGAAGTTTGTATTCAAAACAAACAAGAATATTTATATCAGTGCTACTCTCAAATCACCCTGTGTAAAACATTACAGCTGCTGATAGTTTTGTATCTATATGTTAAGTACTTTAATTGTATTTTGATGGGCTTCTCCTACATAGAGTTTGTCATAATTGGCAGAGCAAGTAATACAAATTGGGCGCCATAGACCATGTGACTTATTAAATTGGACTTCTGATTGGCTGCAATCTGCAGATAATTTGTGAATTTGGTAAGATCCGCTATCACAAACATAGACAGAGCCTTCTCTACTTGCTGTCAAACCATATACTTGTGTTAAGTTTTCATTTTCATACGTGGCAACCAGTTTACCATCAACAGTCATTTTGATGACAGCATCTTTCATCAGGTCTACCATAAATAATGACCTACCATCCAAACTTAGGGTCATTTTTGAAATCCTGAACATTTTCCCCATGAAGTTACATTGAATTGACCTTAGAACCACCCCATCTATATCAAGCTCTTGAATTTTACCAGGCGAAGAGGATCTTGTCTGGAACATTGTGACAATGAAATGATTATCATTGCAAACAACATCCCAGCAAGGCATTTCAGTCTCAATCTTTTGATGTAGATTATTTATTGTACCTGACCGGGACAGGGACATGAAACTGAGTTCACTGACATTGATACAAGCTACAACAAGTTTGTTGTTGCTCACCTTACTGACACAGATTGGGTTATTGATGGGCATCACTGATATTATCTTATTTGTTCTTAAATCAATAGATTTGATTGAACAATTTCTACCATCACAAACTATAAGAAAATTTTCAGGGTATAAACAAATATTCCATATTGCACAGTCAAGAAGTTCATTCTCTGCTTTAACATTTATCTCTTGTGCCACCCTTTTCTGAAGGTCCTGTTCCTTTTCACCTTTGCCAACAATTTTTCCAAAGTCCTTTTCATCAAGAGTGCTCATCTTTGTACCTGGTTCAAACCTGTATTCTTCTACCACATTCTTTTTATTCATTTCTTGAAGCTTTCTTTCAAAGTCTTTTAAATTTCTTCTTGCTCTTTTTAGAGTCATGAAGAGTTTGCATCTTTGTTTTGCATCATTTTGATACTTTATTTGATTCTTTAATGTCTCTGTCTCAGACTTCAAATTTTCATAGAGTACTGAAATAACTTTGAGCCTTTTTCTGTCATTTTGTGCCTTTTCCTCAACCTGAATTTTCAGGATGTTTATCTTCTCTTTAATCATTTCAGTAATATTGTCAGCATTATTTTCAATGGCCAAATCTGTGTCATCTCTTATCTGTTCAATGACCTGTTCATTTCGATCAATATCATCATGTATCCCTCTCAGTTTTCTGTCCATTTTTTCAAGATCCTGCACAACATCCTTAAGTTCTTGTCCATTTTCAATATCTTTTACGAGTTCTGGAACATGATTCAAACTTTTGCAGTTTTTATGGCTTACATCCTTGCAGAGTTTGCATGCAAACTTGTCACATCTGTGACAGTAGAATTTGATGAGTTCATCATCATGAATATCACACTGCTCCAGGCACACATCTTTTGGCATATCACTGTTTTCCAGCTGCTTGTGACCACTGATGTACTTTTTATGAAACTTCAAACAGTTTTGACAGAAGTATTTCACACAGTCTATACAATAACCAGTAGCTGTTTCATCCTTTCCCTCACTGTGACAGTCTTCACAGTACATTTCAACAAGTTCTTCAGAATCCTGGACTTCTGATTCATGTAGGGATTGTTCAAAGTCAGAGCCTTGATTTGTAGAAGTTGTCATAGAATTTCTTACGTCTGATTCCATAATCCTAGTGATCCTTATTGAAGAACTAAAATCTGAAGAACTTGAGTGATCCATGTTTGATTCAAAGTCTTAGAATAAATTTTATTTACTCAGTCTTGATGATAGTAATGTATATACATTTGTAAAATGTGTCTATTTCTGCCCCACCTACCGTCACAAAAAGTAGCTACTAAAAGTTTGAACTCATTATCTAATTTTCAAAATTACATTCAGCAAATGATAACGGTTGATAAGATAAAGGCTTATGACAAGGGCGTCATGTGACCTGTTATCTTATTTACCTGTATAAAATTACTTTAATGTACATAGTATGATACTGATTCATTTTCAGTATTTGAAATGATAAAAATTAGCCAAGTTTTAAAACATAGAAAAGGTCAAATTATCATAAAATTATCGAAGTTAGATTGATAAAAAAGCATTTAGTGACATGAAGGGACAATTAAGGTTCATAGATTATGTCAATGTATCTATTCTGAATGTTGCACTCATTTTCCTTTACATACAAAAGTGTAAAATAACCCTACAAAGATGAGTAACAAAGTTAGCCAAGAGAAATTAAATAAATTTACCAGTACACATTGTTAAAAACAGAATTGTGGTTTCAAAAAGTAATTTTCATTTTTTTCTATCAAAGAAGAAAAATATAAACCACATGGAATAATTATTCACAATGGGTTAAATCTTATTTGAGATGATAATATATGGTCATTGTCCAAGGCCTATAACATTATCGTGACTTTTTGACAGAATAACAGCCTTTTTTCAACTTTGAAAATTCGACATATCCAGGCTCTTATTTTACTTATCAAACACTTGGGCTAGTGGAGCACCCTGTCCTACCAACTGCACTACACTTGGGCTAGTGGAGCACCCTGTCCTACCAACTGCACTACACTTGGGCTAGTGGAGCACCCTGTCCTACCAACTGCACTTGTTTCACATTCATTTCTGTAATTTAAGATCATCCAGAATTATTACACTATTATTATTATGTGCTTATTATGTGCTTATTTATTTTAGTATACGTCTTATCATTGAATATTATTAGGATGTATGATAGAGCTCAGAAGGACAGTTTAACATTTAGCAGACGACAGAGACATATGCTACAGGATCATTTAAGGAAGCAGACGTCACTTCTTAATCAACCAAATGAGGTGAAGCGACTTAGTGACCTACTTATGCTGGAGTTCAGGGTGAGTCTGATTCTGTACCTTTTATATAGCTATATATAGGACATGTTTTTATTATCATAAGCATTCTGATTGTATAAAGTAACATTATGGTTAAATCAGATAACACAAATATATTTGTGAAGAAAATGGAAAATCCCACCAATGTTAGACCTTAAATCATGGTATTAGGGTGAAAATAATTTTGTTTCTGTTGTTCACAAGCTGCCACTTGCTGGATAAAAGCCATTGGTTGGAATTCAATATTTTAATAACCTTGAAATTTAGAATAACCTTTTCTTATCATTACTTCAAATTAGTCATGACTGTAAATGGAAAACATTCAAAACTTTAATTATTCTGCTGTTCTTTTGCCTTTACCTTTCAAATGTTTCCTTACTGTCATTTGGAAATTCATCAGTATCTGACAAGTTAGACGTTACTAATATGTATTGACTACAAGTGGAACTAATTGTACTGCGCTACGAGATATTGTGCTATTTTGTGTCTGGGCAATATCTTGTTTAGATTCTGACCCTGATTGAAAATATCTCAGAATCTTGCTTTGGCACATCAATATATTTTGACTCATTGACTACATGAACATATTAATAATATTTTAACATGCTTGAAGATAACTTGGATCATATTATGGTCCACATTATTGATTATTAATTTATGAGGTTATTAAGTCAAAGGTCAGTGTCAAAGTGACACTTGTTTACAGTCCTTTATATCTTTAAGTCATTTTTTTTTATTTTCACATTTTTTGCATGTTAACATTGTTCATGTTTTGGCATGTTGAGCTGTTGTTTTATCGAAGTAACAGTTATATGAACTCTTTACCACAAAATATTCAACTCTTCCATTTTTTTATCTTAACTTTTACATGTACATAATGTTAACATTCGTTGACTTCTGATAAATTTTGTTTTTAAATACAGATAATCATGGGGAAATTATCTTAAATCATATTTATCTATCATGTACATTATATTTTATATTAGTATAATATTATATTGACATTTTGTAATAAAATAGCATACGTCTCTGTCAAAAGCTTTTGTGACGGGCATATTTTGAGACTCCTGGCTCTTTTTCTCATGTTTTATAATGAAGTAAAGATTGCTGGCTTGATTTTATCATTTATACAAAATCAGTTGTATAAAATGATGTCTAATTAAATTATAATTCAATCTTTTTATTTTTATGAACATCAATTTTTTTCGTGAATTTTGCCTGTTAGATAATAATTTTTTGGAGATGCCTGTATTTGCACCTGTATTTTGAATAAGTCACTAAGTTAGCAACAAAATAAATGATAATAATCAGTCGTATATTATGTATGACATTTGTTAATCATTAAAGGATGCTATAATAGTGGATGGTAAGTTAAAATACCAGAAATTTTATAATATTGTTGATATAGTTTATCTATCTTGTAAATTTGTAGAATTGTTCACCATATTGTTAGATGTGCACAAAGATGTTTGATATACCAGTGTAGGATACACAGCTTCTATATGATCATGATGATATACCAGTGTAGCATACACAGCTTCTATATGATAATGATGATATACCAGTGTAGGATACACAGCTTCTATATGATCATGATGATATACCAGTGTAGCATACACAGCTTCTATATGATAATGATGATATACCAGTGTAGGATACACAGCTTCTATATGATCATGATGATATACCAGTGTAGCATACACAGCTTCTATATGATAATGATGATATACCAGTGTAGGATACACAGCTTCTATATGATCATGATGATATACCAGTGTAGGATACACAGCTTCTATATGATAATGATGATATACCAGTGTAGGATACACAGCTTCTATATGATCATGATGATATACAAGTGTAGGATACACAGCTTCTATATGATCATGATGATATACCAGTGTAGCATACACAGCTTCTATATGATCATGATGATATACCAGTGTAGCATACACAGCTTCTGTATGATCATGATGATATACCAGTGTAGCATACACAGCTTCTGTATGATCATGATGATATACCAGTGTAGGATACACAGCTTCTATATGATCATGATGATATACCAGTGTAGCATACACAGCTTCTGTATGATCATTATATACCAGTGTAGCATACACAGCTTCTATATGATCATGATGATATACCAGTGTAGCATACACAGCTTCTGTATGATCATTATATACCAGTGTAGCATACACAGCTTCTATATGATCATGATGATATACCAGTGTAGCATACACAGCTTCTATATGATCATGATGATATACCAGTGTAGGATACACAGCTTCTATATGATCATGATGATATACCAGTGTAGGATACACAGCTTCTATATGATCATGATGATATACCAGTGTAGGATACACAGCTTCTATATGATCATGATGATATACCAGTGTAGGATACACAGCTTCTATATGATCATGATGATATACCAGTGTAGGATACACAGCTTCTATATGATCATGATGATATACCAGTGTAGGATACACAGCTTCTATATGATCATGATCATTAATACAATATATAATATCTCTCCTTGCTTCAGCACCACATACTGTACAGCTTTAATATACTTTATAGTTTCAGAATAAGGCACCCATTGTAACATTTATAGGTTGTTTTATCATGTATATGTACAGTAATCTTATCCTGTTATCGTCATCCATGTCTGCTTCATGATGTCCGAGATGAAATATTTTGTGTTGAAAATATTTTTTATTCTGTCTTTCTTATAAATGAAAAGATTTGCTTCAAAGTTCAAACATTTGTTCCTTACCATCCCTCATTTTTGACAAGGTTCATAACTCTGACCCCTATTTTCATGAATTACTCCCCTTTTGACCATAGAATTCCTTATCATCTTGATGTTTGACAAAGTCCATAACTCTGACATCTATATTTCAAGAATTACTCCCCTTTGAACATGGAATTCCTAATCATCCCTCATATATGACAAGATTCATAATTCTGACCCCTATATTTTATTTAAGAATTACTCCCCCTTTTAACATACAATATCTAATTGTCTTCATAAGAGTATACGACAAGGTACATTACTCTGACACTTATATTTCAGGCATTTCTCCCTGTTTAAACATAGAATTTCTTAACAACCCTCCTATATATGATCCATTACTCTGTTTCATGAATTTATCCAGCTTTAAAGTTTCTCATTCTTCATTACAGAAGTTTCTGATGATGTTTTAATTGTATGTAGATGTATTTAGTGTGATATGAAATATCTAAAATTTAGATTAACTTTCACACTTAGTTTAATAAGCAATATATTTATATAGTGTGGACCTTTAATAAGCAATTTTTTCTTGTGTTTCTATCTCATTTCGATACTATCCAGTATAGAAATAGTTGAGTGTGCCGTCTTCTAGAATTTGTCTGTTAAGATGGAATGATAGGAAGATGCTAGACTATAAGTCATGAATAAAGAGTGAATTAATTAATTTATGATAAGCTGTTTCTAAGCATTCTAACTTTGTTGTTATTATATAGCTCTGTCTATTATTATTATATAATGTTATATGATACAAAAAGAAAGTAAGCTTATTCTTATGAGTCAACTATGGATATATTCATGACATTAATATTGTCATAATTACATGTGTGTCAAAATAGAAAATGAGACTTAAATTTATCAGTTATATATCATATGCTTGTTTGTTTTCTCCCAGCTTGATGTTGTACCATGGTCATTGCAGTATTGTGGATTATCATTATATGCCTTACATGTATATATCAAGGAATTAACCTAATTCAAAAACACCATGCTTTATAGATGTAGTGATTTAATTTTGCTTACAAAGCTTGTGTCATCATTCAGATACATTTTTTTTTAATTTTAATAATGTGTATTATTATCATAATGTTTTAGCTTTGTTTATTATAAGAAAGAAATATTTGCCAGTTTACTTTTATTCACTAGATGTGTTAAGAGTCCCAATGCTTAATAATTTTATTTATGTTTAAGTTATAAAGATGTATTACATGTTATATGGCTCAGTGTAATTGGTTATAAGTTTATATAACCCAAGTTACTGAACAAGGATAACATAGCAAATGGCCATATAATCTGTCAAAAATGTTTATAATGAAATCATAATAGTTCATATTGAAATAAAAATTAATTTGTAATAAATTTGAAGCAGCTGTGTATAAAGATGATATTAATGTGATTATGATGAAATGAAAATGCACGATACATTTAAAAAGCAGTTATATACCATATATGATAATAGTTGTATAATTCTAAATGGAAGAAAAATTGTGATAGTTTTACCTTCAGTATGAAACTGGATTTAAAACTTGGAAAACCTTTCCCTGAATACACTTCTGATTGTTATCAATAAATATATCCTTTTTAAGAAGGAACAAATAGGTTGGGAAGTAAGAAGGGGGGGGGGAGTATAATTGTATAGGATGGATGAGGGGGAGAGAACTCATTCTATACATTATCTATGCTAAATTTCATGTGCAGTATGATAAGAAAGATGCAGATTGTAAGGATTCTGTTGTGTTAGTTAACAGAACATTAGAGAGAGTGAAAAATATGTGATTTAATGAACACTCTATTACAATGATAGGTAAAATAGTTGATAATTCTGGTTTGTGTTATCTTTTAATTTTATTTACAGTTTTGAAAGAAGCCATTTGTTAAGGAAATGGATATTAATTTTCAGTGTGCTGTTGTAAAATAATGTATGATTTGATTTAGGATTTTATAGTAATAAAGTCACAAAGACCTGTAAGTCTAAGTGATAAAGTCGAAACTTTTGAATGACAGATCATTAGTTTACTACAGCACAAGTAAAATTGATTTCTATTTCAGTTCTAACATGCCAATAGAAATAGAATTTATAATGATGTGTTGAACTTAATTGAGCAAAGACGTAATTTTCATGATGTCATTTGGTTTATTGACATCACATGGCAAAACAAACTTTACTTTCCTTATTCTTTGCATTAATATGTAATAATATAGGCTGTTTCTCAATCTGTTTGATAAGGAAGTTGTGTGTATCATGTTAGAATTTACAGTTAATTTAAAGTTTTAAATCTTTATTTTAGAAATTATTAAAAGGAAAGAAACACAATCATGTTTTTCTCATTTTGTGTTATCTTTTGGATCCTTTCCTGCTAAAAGAACACTAGCATCTTTCTTGAGCGTAACATAACTTTAGGGAGCTCAGTTTTATGCTTTATATTGGTTATTTTCTGATTTCCTTTTAACATTATTTGTATCTTTTCATTCCAGCTAAATAAGTTAATTACCAGAACATATGAAATTATATACAGGGGTCTTATCATTTAACACTTCATAATTCTTTCTTTATAACTTACCTGAATTCTAATTAATGACCTTTAAAGGTTGTGGAATTATTCATTATATACTGGGATATTACTTTTGTTGCCAAGGTTATTAAATTTTTATTTTGATGTATTTCAGAGGGATCCGGATTCGTTATCAGCGGGTGCTGATATTGCTCTTCAACAGGCTTTGTTGGCTCAGGCGTGAAACCACATCGGCACCAGATAACTACAGTCACACTTTACTCTATTGAATTTATGTAATGGATTTTCCCGACAGACTACATGTATTAGAATTGGATTTTAGTATCCAACAGTATAGAGCCTACATAGATGTCAATCTGTGCTGATGTCAACATATGTGAATTTATTATCATCCATGTAATTTGTCCTTATCATATAGAAACAAGTTTATATTTGTGATAGTAAATATGTCTATGCCAGGTTACGAATGCTGTAACTAAGTGGCTATAAATTCATCTAATTGTGTTGGGCACTTAGATTGCTTAAAATACTACTGTTAAAAATTAACTTTTCCCCTATAAAGAGTTTGCTTGTTCAAACTAACTTTATTTATCCTTAAAAGTTAAAATATGTGTTTTATGCATAAACATTATAATTGGAAAGTTATGTCTGGTGTTATGATTAAGGAGTACAACTTTAAAAGATCTGATGTTATGCAAGAATGATCTGATTTTATGTATTTATTGTTCATCTCTTTCATACGAGGGTGTATCAAAAAGTTTTTCTAATGCTTGTACAAAATAAAATCTGCATTACAATGAATCAATATATTTCATTCCTACAAAATGATCTCCATTATCAGAAATGCATTTTTCTTAATTAAGAAATGCAGTAATGGAAACCAGTCTGTCGTTGGTGTACCTCTGAGGTACATGTACCAGTACTGTACTTCCTGTAAGCAGGAAACGTAGACTTATAATTTTTAGCAAATAAGGAAAATAAGATCCTGAACAATTTCTCTGCCATTAGAAAATGGTTTGCAGTGCTTTGTGAATTTGTTATCTAGATCATTTAATGATCATGCTCTTTGATATAAGACTTATTTAAAATTTGTGCTCATTATTGTGCAGGAAATAAAACAGTGTATACAATTTCACAATTTTGCTAATTATTGTAATATAAAAAAAAAACTTGTAAAATTTCTTGCACTGAATTATTTTCAATAGTTTTGTTTATGTCAAAATAAATATTTTCTAGAAGTGGCCCAATTGAGTAAAAACTTTTTGATATACCCTCGTATTACTATATAATTTTATCTGTTATTGTTTTCTGGACATGCATATTTAAATGTTTGATATTCAATTGTCCTATCTTACTAGTACTTCATGTATGACTGTCACGGAGTTGTATTTTTATAAACAAAGATCAGACACTTAATAATCATTCAGAAACATGGTGATTTTACTAGTAACATTGGACTGACACAACAATTTATGCTATGTTTATCTTATGATTGTATTGTTACATTATTCCTCCAGCATAATATCCATGTTTATGTGCTACACCCTGTGAATTCATGTTTTAAATGCTTTCATTTATAGTAATTCTATTCTATTGGTTAATTTTAATATATATACTTTTTGCTTCTAAAAACTCAGAACTTCTGCTAATTTCTGTCAACATTTCAATATGTGGCCTCATGGGTTCAAACCCTGTCGGGGGCAAGCCAAGGCAAGGAACTTTACATTCATTGCTTAGTACTGGTTGATTCCAGGAACAGATTCAAGAGCGTTTCAATAAGCTTATAGCTACTAACACAAATGAACTAAAAAGAGTTAGTATAAACTACTATACAAGTTGTCTGTGATATTTTACTATGTCATGTCTGTGATACGATAAATATGTTTAAATAGCATTTGTTCTGCATTTTTTATATGCTAGTACAGATTTTTTTCTTTTATTTAATAATTGTATACAATGTATGAACTAGTATTTATAAGTACTGTGATATGGAGATATGTTTACAATGTATGGATAAAGAACTGGGCCTGAAGTTATAAAGACATGCTCTTAATTCAAACACAGATCTCAGGTATTTGATTGGTCAGGAACTGCCTTAGAATATTCACTGATCAATGAAAAACATGAGATTTGAGACAAAACTCGGACGAAACTTTTATAACCTCGGGCCAAGGTGGTACTATTTTTTTAACTTTAATTGGTTAAATTTATAATCCAATAACTTGTACATCTAGAAGTTTGCAGATTGTTTCAAACAGTTGTCTGTCAGTAATTGAAACACAATACATGTATAAAGTATTCAGGTAATCCACTTCATTCACTATTAAATTTAAACCTGAAATTACTTTAAGTCCTATTTAAACTTATTTTTTCTACCAATCAACAAACAGAAAATAGTCGACTGTACGACACAGCAAAATGGTCATGTAACAGAATTTTATCCAAGTACGAGAGTTTAAAATTTTGTTTTTATCATCATTTGATAATAATCAGATGATTTTGATTTTATTTTTCTGTTATTATTTTTTAAATTAAATATTTTGTAAAGTTTGTTTACAGTATTACTTATTATCCTTGTATGAAGGGAGAAATAAAATATGAAAACGTCAATTCTGTTTATGACTATTTATCTATTATAAAAATATTAACTATGATATGTACATACAGTGAGACATTGAAAATATTTGTTTCTAAACCATGAATATAATCTCAACTACTCTACATGCTCTAAGACAAACAGTACAGCAGGTATCAACATAAATGTTTACTCTAGTCATACACAAAGATAAACACTTTTACTACTCAAGTCTGAGAGTATGTCAAATATTAAAACATTAACATAATTATAATACTGATGATAATCAAGCACTGATTTTCTTTGTTTTTCAACAGTAATATGATGTATTTAAAGCTTAAATTTTTTTGCTGTTCTTTTTGAAAAATTGGTGTAAGTTGAACAAAGAAATGCAGTGATTTAAATGGGAAAATGTTTGATAGATCTATGCACATGAACCTTGTTTTTTTCTTACAAAATTAAAGGTTGACAACTGTTGATTGAATAATCAGACAAATGAAAATTGGTCTTTCGTGTGAAAACAGAAATCATCGTAAAATATACAGCATACATAACCAAGATATAAAAAATATTCTATGGTAAATTTAAGATGACCTGACCTTTCTGAGAGAACCAGCAACAAAAAACTTTATCTAAAATACAGTTTCCCACATTAACCTCCATTACATTTTTTCCCCATTTGTAGTTTCTGATTTGGTCTGTACCTATCTGAACCAATTATTATGCCTGATTTTCAGATGCTTTACAGTTTAACTTTCTCTCACCCCCTAAAATCAACAGTCATCTCCCACCCCAATTTATGTAAATGTATTGCAAGTCATTTGCTGTACCATTAAATAATTTCATTATGTAGAACATATTTTTAACAAACAATGGCACAGAATAAAAACCGGTACATCGGCTAGAAGTCCTTATCAACTGCTATGAGTTTCTTTAACACTTCATTCAAGGCATTATTTGTTGGAGATTGTGTAAATAATTCCTGAAAGTCTTTCCCTTCCTCTAAAGACTGTGCAAGTTGTGGATCTAATGGAATACAACCTGAAATATACCACAGCTACATTGTATACAGCATTTTGTACCAGTTCAACAAGTACCCCCCTAGACTTCGCCCCTACTTTGATCTTTATAAGTACATATTCTTGTTTTAATTGAAATACACCAATTGACAGTTTCCGAACAAGCCAATGACAGGCTTTTCTTATCAGTAATTTTGCAAGTTCAGACAGCATACTGGTTGCATATCTTTCTGTATCGTATATTAAATGGCCCGACATGTGGTAGGTTTAACAATTAATGTGAATACTTTGGTGTCTAAAGAGATGTTGATTTATATACTGAGATGAAGCTAAGATCACAAACTTTTTATTGGTGTAATAAAAACTAAAATTGGACAATAAATCGCTTTTAATTAACGGTTTACAAATGGCCAAAATTGTACTGTTTTAGCATTAGAGATATCGATTTTACTCGAAGATAAGGGAAATAACTCCCTATACCTCGGTTATTTACACAGTTTATATAGAAACCATCAATGGGTGTTTATAATACTTTGATTTTGGTAAAGTCTAATATATTATGGGTTATTACTTTTAACATCAATAAGGGCTGAAATGATTAGTAAACAATATAAAGCCTAAACAGACTGATACATAACTACTGTCTGACCTAAATTTATGCTGGTGTCATAGAACTGTTGTAATTGCTGCTAGTTTCCCCAACAGAAGCCTATCATCACGATAAAGTGAGCGAAATTGCTGACTTAAATGTTAAGCTATGATGTTGAGGCTATGTGGGATTTAAATAGCATAACACAAAAATGTTAAAGAAAAAACTTTGAAACTAAAATTGATCGTAAGTTGATAAATTTAATAAACTGTTACATTTAAGTGTAGTTTAGTTGTTTTTTTTCTACTATATTATTACAGCAGAATTACACCTGTAATATTTTAATTTTGTCTTACCTAAGAAAGGAACATGAGCTTGTTTTGCAAGAGCTTCTCCCCCTCCTTTAGAGAACACATTTGTTACTTCCTGTATCAACAAACAAAATATTTATTTAATCTTCAATGTATAAAACAAGCATTTAGTTTTATATTATAACAGACTGGAATATCTAGTTTATGCAACAGTGCTAGAATATGTCAGTTTACACTCTCAAAATTATGTCATTCACCTGATATGACTGAAGTTGTAAATTCATATGCTTTTATAAAAAAATATTGTTAAATAGAATATATAAGTTTTTGGTCTTGTTAACTATAACATATATATGGCAATAAAAAGAATCAAACATTGGCTTCCATTATCTGACTTTCTAGTAACGGATAAGCAGTAATTCTTCAAGGCCTTGTTACCACCTTAAACAGTTTACCCTTATGTTTATTCATTCCAGTCTCGTGACATTCTTATATTCTTCATTTATTTAATGCCACATTTAAAACTGTTCAACCATATCGGAATAATCATGGAAAACTAGACTCACACTTGCAAAGCGAAGGTATATAGACCAAGCACTCAGCTTTCACTGAGCATTAAGCATATATAAAAGTAATACTATTTATAATGACAAACAAGAGCTGTCAGTAGGACAGCAATGCTCGACTGTTCTTAGTGCTTGATAGTAAAAGAGCCTTGATAATGTAAAATTTTCTAAGTAAACAAAAGGGCAATTTTTTTCTTTAAATCCATGTTACAGTTATAGGCCTTGGAGAGAGTCCTAGTATGCTCTCAAAGAAGAGTATAAAATTTCAACTTGTTTCAAAGCCAGATGTCAATAGAATATGTAAATATTTGAGGTGTTACAAAAACTTAAACGTAAATTCTAAGTCAAAAAGGGGTATAATTCTGTCAAAATGCTTGATACAGTTACCTCCTCCTGTCTACAGGTTGGGGTCATGATGGTAACCAATTGTGCAAAGTTTCAAAGCCATATGCCAATGGACTTTGAAAATATTTGAGGTATTACAAAAACTTTAACATAAGTGGTTTCTTATATAGACATATATTCACATGCCAATTATGATAATCATATTAGTATATTAATCAATTTAAAGTACCCCACAACATGGACAGGCAAATCCACTCATATTTTCCACAATACCCAGTATAGGTACTCCAGTCTTGTGACAAAATGTCAGCTCCCTTCTCACATCTCCAACTGCCACACCCTAAATAAATGTACAATACATGTTATATCAAGTTTTCGTAATGTTAATCTAGTTTCATTTACTTTATAACATTTACTTCAAACATTTATAATTAAAACGTGTAATAAAACAGTCAGTTATAATGTGTAATGTGAAGTTTATCACTTATTAAAAACAATTATCATTGATATGACATAATGATAGTGACAGATTTTGTTAATTCTGGAGCTATGACTTGGGGGGGGGGGGGTGTTTATTTAGATATTACACTGTTCATTAGAGAGTATAAAAAGTAAAGCTGATAATTGCTACTATTCTATGTAGTATGAATGGCAGCACACAACTGTAATTACAGATTTAAAACTAAGAAGTTCAGAAACAGTAAGAATTTAGAAGATTAAAATAGTCATTTGTCTATATCAAACTGATACTTGTATTTATTAACTCCACTGGTCCAGTTGCTGACATATGGGTTTCAAACTCAACAAAAAAATTCAAAGAATATTTCATTTACAGAAATAATTTCTCTTGTGTTGAAAACTCAAAAGTCATATTTTATATAGTACATGATAATTTATTATAATATGAGCCATGCCATGACAAAACCAACATAATGGGTTCGCGAACAGCATGGATCCAGAGCAGCCTGCGCATCTGCGCAGTCTGATCAGGATCCATGCTGTTCGCTTACCAACCCTATTACAAGTAGATAAACTGATAGCGAACAGCATGGATCCTGATCAGACTGCGCGGATGCGCAGGCTGGTCTGGATCCATGCTGGTCGCAAACGCACTATGTTGGTTTTGTCATGATGCGGCTCATATAATATTACAAACCTGTGGTGTAGTCACCAGTAAAGCCCCATCTGGACAGTAAGATTTGAGACTTTCTATCACAGTAATATGTTCATCTGATGTTCCAGGTGGTGTATCTATAACAAGGTAGTCAATATCCCGCCAAACTACATCACTTAAAAACTGTCTGATCATAGCTGAATATCAAATATAAATATAACATGTCTGTAGGTCATAACAAAAGACAATAAACAATATCATTATTGAAATAAACCCTTCACCTAATAAACACCATTATAGAACACCAGTGGACTGTACCAAATAAAATCCAAGTAAAAGCCATAACACTAAAGATATTGAAAACAAATCAGAGAAGTAAAATATGTTAACTGTATTCCTTTACAAAACTGAATCCAAATGCTTTAAATGAAAAATGAAAATCAATTTACAAATATTGTTAACTTGTTAATTTCCAATAACAAAGTTCTTGAAAAGTATGGACAGACACAACAGTAATCAATATGACCGATTAACTTTTCAATGTAAGCTTAACTTCTGTCCATGTAGGATTTGAAAATAACAGGAGCTACATGGTATGTGAACCTTGGCTATTTTTCAGCTGGCAAGACAGGTCTTCCCTATAAAATATAGATTATACATATTTCTATTACCATTTTTCTTTGGTCCTCTCCACACAACAGCATCATCTTTTCCTTCTATAAGGAAACCTATTGACATCACACCTAGTCTCTGTTCCTTGTCTACATACACTGGTAGCCATCTGTAGTTATAACATTTAAAATCTTGTATTAATAAATAAATGAAAAGCTGTCACATCACTAATGGGTAACATTTTAGTTACCTCATTCTGGAACAAGAACTGTCGGAGGACAGTAACGCTCGACTATTCAAAAAGTTGTCACAAGGGTGTTTCATTGAGTATAATAATGCTTACCTATATGAATACATAAAATTGTCCGAATAGGTACAAAGGCTTGATATTAAGATGTTTTATCGAGTAAATCACTGCTTTATTGTTATGAATGCATAAAATTGTCTTAAACAAGAGCACCGCTAGGCAGAGCATTATATGCCCGAAAGTGTTTTTTTTATATTAAGGATGAAGCATTTGTAAGACATTACATAAATTAAACTAGAAATGTGTCATCATGCCACGGATGCCCCCGCATGCAGCCAAAATTTCAGATGGTGCATTAATTTTTTTTTTTCATTTTAAGTTCAAAGCCCTTAAAACTTTTCAATGTTAACACAAACCATTTTCATACAATGTTCAAGGCACTGAAATTATTCAGTCTAAACCTTTTAAAAATAGCATATTGCATATTTGTAGCCAAAATAATGGCTAAAAGTAAGAGTGCTGAAACTGAAAGTTCAAAATTTTTCCAACATTCAGGAAAGATAAGTTTGTCTTAAATCATTGAACTACAACCAAATTCAAACTTAAACTGCTTATTCCTAAGATGTATCTATATTATTTTCAAAGTGAAAGGGACATAACTCTGCCAAAAAATCATCAAACCATGACCAAATTCCAACTTGACCTGCCCATTCGTTTGACATATCCATATGTCAAATTTAAGTTGAATATGTAACACTGTTGGGTAGATAATGAACAGAAACTGTAAATTTCATATTATTTTCAAAGTGAAAGGGGCATTACTCTGCCAAAAATCATTGAACCATGACCAAAACTCGAACTTGGCCTGGGCATTCCAAAAACATATCCATATGTCAAATTTGAGTTGAATGTGTTGCACCATTGGGGAGATAATAAACAGAAAATGAAAATTTCATATTACTTTCAATGTGAAAGGGGCATAACTCTGACAATAATCATTGAACCATGACCAAATTTGAACTTGACCTGCACATTCCTTTGACGCATCCATATGTCAAGTTTGAGTTGAATGTGTTGTACCTTTGGGGAGATAATGAACGGAAATTGAAAATTTCATATTATTTTCAAAGTAAAAGGGGCATAACTCTGCCAAAAATCATCAAACCACGACCAAATTCAAACTTGACCTGTATTTTCTCATGACATATCCATATGTCAAGTTTGAGTTGAATGTGTTGTACCGTTGGGGAGATAATGAACGGAAACTGAAAATTTCATATTATTTTCAAAGTAAAAGGGGCATAACTCTGCCAAAAATCATAGAACCATGACCAAATTCGAACTTGACCTGTATTTTCTCATGACATATCCATATGTCAAGTTTGAGTTAAATGTGTTGTACCGTTGGGGAGATAATGAACGGAAACTGAAATTTCATATTATTTTCAAAGTAAAAGGGGCATAACTCTGCCAAAAATCATCGAACCATGACCAAATTCGAACTTGACCTGTATTTTCTCATGACATATCCATATGTCAAATTTGAGTTGAATGTGTGCAACCGTTCTTAAGATAATGAACGGAAACTGATGATGACGGAATGACAGAATGACGGAAGGACGGAAGGACGGAATGACGGAACAGGGTAACACTATATGCCCCGGCCATTACATGGCGGGGGCATAATAAAGTATTACCTCCTTCCAATAGCAATCCTCCTATAAAGTTTGAGTATTGTTGGCCAAATGGAACTTAAGTTATGCTCCAGAAACTGTTTTCAGTTTTAAGGTAATAGTGACCTTGACCTTTGACCTTGTGACCCTAAAATCAATAGGTGTCTTCTACCCAATATGGACAATCATCCTATGAAGTTTGAACACTGTGGGCCAAATGAAACTTAAGTTATGCTCCGGAAACTGTTTTCAGTTAATAGTGACCTTGACCTTGTGACCCTAAAATCAATAGGGGTCTTCTACCCAATATGGGCAATCATCCTATGAAGTTTGAATGTTGTGGGCCAAATGGAACTTAAGTTATGCTCCGGAAACCAAATTGCTAACGGACGGACGCCAGGGGGTATAATATAATATAAAAAGGCACAAACCCTTCAGTAGTTATGGAGATACCAGCTTTCAAGCAAAACCTTTACCAAGAATTTCTAAGTCGAAAAAGGGGCATAATCATGAAACAAGAGGGCCATGATGGCCCTGAGGTCGCTCACCTGTATATAGGCCCCCCAACCCCCCCCCCCCCAACGTTGCAGGGCCAATTTAACCCAAGGGCTTTTATTTGCACAAACTTGGTAGACACCCATAAGAAGATGTTTCATGCTAAACATCTAAGCTCTAGCTCATTGGGCTTTTTAAAAGAAGATTTTTTTTAAGTTTTTACTATACACATATAGTTAAAAACAATGACACCCATGGGGCCGGGCCAGTTTTGACCCAGGGCTTTTATTTGAACAAACTTTGTAGACACTTACTAGAAGATGTTTCATGCTTAATATCTAAACTCTAGCTATTTGGGTTTTTTCAAAGAAGATTTTAAGTTTTTGCTATACACATATAAAGAAAATCAATGACCCCCGGGGCGGGGCCAATTTTGACCCAAGGGCTTTATTTGAACAAACTTTGTAGACACTCACTAAAAGATGTTTCATGCTTAATATCTTAACTCTAGCTATTTGGGTTTTTTCAAAGATGATTTTTTTAAGTTTTTGCTATACACATATAAGGAAAATCAATGACCCCCGGGGCGGGGCCAATTTTGACCCCAGGGCTTTTTATTTGAACAAACTTGGTAGACACCTATTAGAACATGTTTGATGCTAAATATCTTAGCCATAGCTCATTGAGTTCATTAAAAGAAGATTTTTTAAGTTTTTACTATATGCATATAGGGAAAATCAATGACCCCCCAAGGCAGGGCCAATTTTGACCCCAGGGCTTTTATTTGAACAAACTTGGTAGACACCTATTAGAACATGTTTGATGCTAAATATCTTAGCCATAGCTCTTTGAGTTCTTTAAAAGAAGATTTTTTAAGTTTTTACTATATGCATATAGGGAAAATCAATGACCCCCCGGGGCGGGCCATTTTGACCCCAGGGCTTTTATTTGAACAAACTTTGTAGGACACTTATTAGAACATGTTTCATGCTAAATATCTTAGCTCTAACTCTTTTGGTTCTTTAAAAGAAGATTTTTTAAGTTTTTACTATATGCATATAGGGAAAATCAATGACCCCCTGGGGCAGGGCCAATTTTGACCCCAGGGCTTTTATTTGAACAAACTTGGTAGACACCCATTAGAACATGTTTCATGCTAAATATCTTAGCTCTAGCTCTTTGGGTTCTTTAAAGGAAGATTTTTTAAGTTTTTACTATATGCATATAGGGAAAATCAATGACCCCCCGGGGCGGGGCCAATTTTGACCCCAGGGCTTTTATTTGAACAAACTTGGTAGACACTCACTAGTAGATGTTTCATGCCAAATATCTAAGCTCTAGCTCTTATGGTTTTTTAAAAGAAGATATTTTAAGTTTTTTCTTTCGGTTGCCATGGCAACCAGAGTTCTGCGTGGAATTAAATTCTTTGAACAATTTTTAAAGGTGACCACTAAAGGAACATTCCTGTGAAGTTTGGATGAAATTGGCTTAGTGGTTTATGAGGAGATGTCATTTAAAGTAAAAGTTTACGGACGGACGCCGGACGGACGGACGTTCTCACAGGACAGTAATTATGTGGCTACTCTATTGTTCTCTCTATTGTTCTTTTAGCCACGCAAAAGAAAAATAGCCACATAAAAGCATTACGGAATGAATGACATCAAAGAGAACCTATTGTCCCTCTAGCCACATAATTACTCTCCTGTGAGTGCGGACGGACGGACGACGGACGGACGCCGGACGAAAAGCGATCACAAAAGCTCACCCTGTCACTTTATGACAGGTGAGCTAAAAACAAATCATGAGTTATGGGACTTGTGCCAATCATGTAAGATAATCACAGAGAACAAATGTGTGAAGTTTCAATCCATTCCCTTCAGTAGTTATGGAGATACCAGCTTACACGCAAAAACTTAACCAAGAATTTTTAAGTCAAAAAAGGGGCTGATTATGCAGAAAAGCAAATCAGAGTTATGGGACTTGTGCCAATCATGTTAGATAATCAAGGAGAATAAGTGTGTGAAGTTTCAATCCATTCCCTTCAGTAGTTATGGAGATAGCAGCTTACACACAAAAACTTAACCAAGAATTTCTAAGTCGAAAAAGGGGCATAATTATGCAAAAAGCAATCAGAGTTATGGGACTTGTGCCAATCATGTTAGATAATCACAGAGAACAAGTGTGTGAAGTTTCAATCCATTCCCTTCAGTAGAAATTTAGTGAGATGTGTACTACCGTTGGGAAGATAATGAACGAAACTGAAAATTTCATCAAGATGCATAACTCAGCCAAAATTCTCGGACAATGACCAAATTAAAAAATGACCTGCATTTTCCTATTATATATCCATTTGTCAAATTTCAGTTGAATGTGTGCAACCGTTACCAAAATAATGAACGGAAACTGATGATGACAGAAGGATGGAATGAAAGAACGGGGTAACACTATATGCCCTAGCCATTTTATGGCGGGTGCATAAAAATATTTTGCGGTTGGCCGTAAAACCAAGCATTATACAGTTTCATTAATCTTAATTACAGTATTGTTGTAAATCTCATCAAATATTGTTCATAAATTATGATTTTAATCGGGAAACCCAATGGTAACACTAAACTTCATATACGAATTTTAACGTGCAAATGAAGACTATAATCAGCCCGTGACTATGCGCTACATCACAGTGTTACAGTTGCTATCCGGAACACAGCAAATATGAGATTTTCTTGTGCAAACACAATTTAACCGTTTTAGCCTCACAGTGCTTTAGGCCTGGCGTTTAGAAAAAAGTAATCATCTCATAAAAAAGATTAAGGGCAGGTAATTCCACTATCAGTTATGCATAAGTATGCCCCCTTCCCTACTTTGCCCTTCTTTGCTTTAACATACTATCCTGCACTGACAAAAAATGGAGTGTGCTGCTTCTTGGACAGCTCTTGTTACTCAAACCAGCATACACTATTTTCTTTTTGTGTTATCTGTCTGGAAACAGTTATAGACTGCTCATATTTTTGTAACAAAGGATAAATAGTGATTGGCAGAAATTTTTTATGTCCATGTATTTCACAAATTAATACTGAAATAAATTATATGTATTTTTTTTCATTAACAATTAAACACAATTGAATTCAGTTGGAAAAGTCACCTACCCTTCAGGACACTGATGAATGTCACTCCTTTCCACACCAAACATCTTTGGTACACTTGGACCACATAAGTCTACATCTAAAAGTCCCACCTGCAACATTTATATGTCAGTTTTTCTTTATTATTTGTAATTGTAACATTCAAATCACTGATAATTGAAAAACCTCATTTAGCGTCATTCAAAAGTCATTCAATGTTTCATGTCTAAAGATAGTCTATACATTGTAGTTATACATACTATAATTAACCTATTTTTTAAATGAATTTGAAAAGCTTAAGCTCATAAGTATTTCTTAAATGACACTAATAAGTTAATAATTTTTTGTATGAGCAAGTATCAAAAACAGACCTTTTGCTAGCCATTTTTGGAAAAAGTACAGAGATCAGTTTGGGAAATTTTGTGGCATCAAATTGCTTAATTGGAAAAAAAAGGTACCTGTTGAAACCTCCTTCATGCTCTTTTGGCATAGAATTTTGAATTGTGCAACATTGTTTATTCCAACCAATGTAAATATCATTCAAAGGTAAAAAAATACATTAAAGTTTGACAATGAAATGTGCAAAAATCTCTTTCTGATACCAAACTGGAATGAATTCCAGCAAATTTGTCAGTTTTGATATCAGAGAATTTCACAGGATTCATACAGAGCATCAAAGGAAAAATTTCAAGGACTATTCAAGGACTTTTCAAGAACCTTTTAATTCTTTCAAGGCCTCAAATATGTGCAAAAAAAGGGCACTGATGACTATGTATACAATAAGAGATTTATATGCGAGTCGGTGTATGTTTCAAAGTATAATACTCGGTGAAGTACTATCACTAAAAGCATTTTTTTAAGTGTGCAAGATCCATTTTCAACATATATAAAAATTGCACTTTTTTCATTTTTGCTCACTGCTTTTGTCTACCTTAAGGCAACTGGTGCAACAAATTAACAATATATGAAAATTTGCAGGGATATATTATTCTCGGGTCTGGTAGCTTCCGGTCACCAGTCTCTCCCAGTCTATTTTGACCCGGATTTACTTGATAGTATTATATTTAATGACCTGGTCAGTGCCGATCTTCTTATATATAATTTATTTGTTAAAATGAGTTGATCTTTCTAGAGGAATGAGGTGATTATAATTGTAATATAAATTTCAAAAATTCAGTTGACCAACGATTTTAATTCTAAAATCAACTGGCATAAGGGCAACATTGTCGCAATATACACACGTCACAGAAGCTTTTGACAGAGATGTGGGCATTATAGATATGCATATAGGAGATATGCTCTGGGCAATATCTGGAAAATATATGAATATATTATCATAATAAAGCATGCTATTTTATTTTTAGAATTGTATAATAATAATAAATAAATTTGAGAGATGATCTATGTAAATTTTTTATTGTAAACAACCTAAGTGACATTCAGTTTTGGGGAAAAAGTCTTTTTTTTTTTTTGGTTACGATATCAAATAAAACAAGCAATTATCATAGTATTACAAGCAATCCATAAGTCCCCTACCGGTTAGAACCCCAGCAACATTCTGAAGGGCCATTGGCTATTCACTTATGTTTCTATTTTAAGTAAATTTGTTGAAAAAGTTCTTTAAAAGTGATCACAGGAAACAGTTTTTACTAAAGTTATTTTTTAAACATCCCTGTTATCAAAATATAACATTTTTAAAAGCAAAATTTTTAAAAAGGAGATAACTCTTGAAATAAAGATGCAAGATGTCATACATGATGTGAGTGTAACAAAGAACAATTAGTAATGAAGGTATGAATAATGAATGTTTATTTTGAATTTGAAGTAAATGAAAGTTTAAAGAACAAATAGGAAAAATTAAAAGTTTAAGGAGGAGATAATTCTGGAAATATGGATGCTAGATTTATAAACCTTGTCATATTATTATGATGTGGGAGTTTGATGAAATTCCTATCATGATTGAAGAAGTTGGAGTAAAAATTACCAATTTCTCAAAAAAAAATCTAAGTTCAAAAGGGGTATAATTCTGGAAATAGTCTTGCTAGAGTATTGAACTTTCTCAAAAAATGTTGAGTGATAATAAGAAACATTTATATGAAGTTTGAAGTAGATACATTCAGAAAAAAAAAAAGTTATTAAAAAAAACAATATTTTTTTCATGAAAATTTTAAGTTCAAGGGAGGTAATTCTGATAATTTTGGGCTAGAGTTGTAAACCTTGTCACATATGATGTGGTTGATGACTAGCAACTTATATTTAAAGTTTGAAGAAAATACCTTAAGAAATAAAGAACTTATAGTGAAAAAACTTAAAAACTAGAATCAGAAATCTTGAAAATCAGTCTATTTGTTGCCATAGCAACCAGAATTTTCAACATAGGAAGATAAGAAAAGGATGTGCATAATTTCCATACTGCCATCTACCCATATGTTAAGTTTCATAAAAATATTTTCAGTACTTTTTGCGTTATCACTGGATCCAGGTTATGTGTAAAATTTGCCATATTTTCACTCTATTAATGCCATAGCAACCAGAATTTACAGCATAGGAAACAAGAGCACCGCTAGGCGGAGCATTATATGCCCGAAAGTGTTTTTTTTATATATTAAGGATGAAGCATTTGTAAGACATTACATAAATGAAATAAAGTATTACCTCCTTCCAATAGCAATCCTCCTATAAAGTTTAAATATTGTGGGCCAAATAGAAATTAAGTTATGCTCCGGAAACTGTTTTCAGTTTTAAAGTAATAGTGACCTTGACCATTGACATTGTTACCCCAAAATCAATAGGGGTATTCTACCCAATATGGACAATCATCCTATGAAGTTTGAATCTTGTGGGGCAAATAGAAATTAAGTTATGCTCCGGAAACTGTTTTCAGTTTTAAAGTAATTGTGACCTTGACCTTTGACCTTGTGACCCAAAAATCAATAGGGGTCTCCTACCCAATATGGACAATCATCCTATGAAGTTTGAACACTGTGGGCCAAATGGAACTTAAATTATGCTCCGGAAACTGTTTTCAGTTTTGAGGTAATAGTGACCTTGACCTTTGACCTTGTGACCCCAAAATCAATAGGGGGTCTTCTACCTAATATGGACTATCATCCTATGAAGTTTGAACACTGTTGGCCAAATGGAACTTAAATTATGCTCCAGAAACTGTTTTCAGTTTTAAGGTGATAGTGACCTTGACCTTTGACCTTGTGACCCCAAAATCAATAGGGGTCTTCTACCCAATATGGACAATCATCCTATGATGTTTTAATGTTGTGGGCCAAATGAAACTTAAGTTATGCTCCGGAAACTGTTTTCAGTTTTAAGGTCATAGTGACCTTGACCTTTGACCTTGTGACCCCAAAATCAATAGGGGTCTTCTACCCAATATGGGCAATCATCCTATGAAGTTTGAATGTTGTGGGCCAAATGGAACTTAAGTTATGCTCCCGAAACCAAATTGCTAACGGACGGACGGACAGACGGATGGACGCGGGATCCAGTTTTGTGGAAGGACTGACGGATTGACGGACGGACAGACGGACGGAGGGTAAACCTAAAGTCCCCTCCGGTAAACCGGTAGGGGACTAATATCAACTTCAAAACCGGGAGAGACTGGACAATAAGCGTGTGATACTATAAAATACCCAGGTGCACAACTACAAATGCTGATCAACCTTCCTGTAAAGTTTCATGACTCTTGGTCAAATACTTTTTTAGTTACGTGTGACACAAGTTGAAAATTGCAAATATTTACTTAGTCAAGGGCAATAACTCTAACAAAATAGAATAAATCCACCAGCAAAACCCCAGGTGCACAACTTCACATGTTGAGCAACATTCCTGTAAGGTTTCATGACTCTAGGTCAAATACTTTTTGAGTTAAGTGCCACACAAGTTGAAAATTGCAATTATTTACTAAGTCAAGGGCAATAACTCTAAAATACAAAATATATCCACACAAAAATACCTAGGTGCACAACTACACATGCTGAGAAACATTCCTGTAAGGTTTCATGATTCTAGGTCAAATACTTTTTGAGATATGTGCGACACAAGTTGAAAATTGCAAATTTTTACTAAGTCAAGGGCAATAACTCTAAAAATACAAAATAAATCCACACAAAAATACCCAGGTGTACAACTACACATGCTAATCAACATACCTGTAAAGTTTCATGACACTAGGTCAAATACTTTTTGAGTTATGTGGGACACAAGTTGAATATTGTAAATTTCTACTAAGTCAAGGGCAATAACTCTAAAAATACTACATATATATAAATACTACATATATATACACAAAAATACCCAGGTACACAACTACACATGCTGATCAACATTTCTATAAAGTTTGATGACACTAGGTCAAAAAACTTTTTGAGTTAGGTGTGACACAAGTTGAAAATTGCAAATATTTACTAAGTCAAGGGCAATAACTCTAAAAATACTAAATATTTCACACGAAAATACCCAGGTGCACAACTACACATGCTGATCAACATTTACATAAAGTTTCATGACTCTAGGTCAAATACTTTTTGAGCTTAAAATCTTTGAAAATAAGGGCTTCTTCACTGTTTTGGTGCTCAAATGTTTAAAGATGCCATGAACGATTATTCTAACTGACTTCCCTGTACACAGGCTTTGCCTAATTTCATATCAATTTAAAAACTGTATATATCTTTTCTAAAATATCATTTTAACAAGATTGCAAAGAAAGTTTGAGTGAAGCATCTTGAGAGGTGAAGTGTCCCTGCAAAAATAATTGTTTGTACCACTGCTTTTATTACAATTAAAGTAAAGTTTATACAAACCTTTTTACCAGAATGCATCAGTCCAAGGGCAAGCTGTGATGCTACAGTACTTTTCCCAACTCCACCTTTACCTGACAAAACCAAAATAACATGGCGCACAGTTGACAAGTGGTCTGAAAGAAAAAGAAACAAATATGAGAAATCAGCTGCCTTATATGCTTAAGTGTTTGTATTATGTATATGTGTGTTTTAACCTGAATAAATATCTATCTATCAATATTATATACAACAGAGTGATCAATCAGGGATTTTTTTGGCTTATTTTATAGTTGGTATTCGGCTATATTCCCAATCGAAAATTGTATATTATTTTCTCAATCATCAGGAAAAAATTTTCAAATGAAAGTAACAAAATAAAAAATTTGAATAACAAATTCTAAAATCTTTGAAAATAAGGGCTTCTTCCCTGTTATGGTGCTTAAATGTTTGAAGATGCTATCCTAGACAGTGATTCTTTGCATTCATTTAATCACTTGCAATATTGAAGTCATGCATTTTTTCCCAATTCTTAACAAAACAGCACTGAAATTCCCTATTCCACTGTTATGTGTCATATTCCCATAATCCTGGAAAAAAACTGTCAATACTAGGGTGTCACGTTTATCTGTTTAAACGGGTACAGTTGGTTTTTAGCTAAAAACCAGTTAAAAAATTTCAAAAACCAGTAACCAAGGTTAGTATTTGACTTCCTGAGGTCTTCCTCCACCAGTAAAGCTGGAATGTCACCATATGACCTATAATGTGTCAGTGAGACGTAAAACCCAATTAAACAAACAAATAGTTTGACTTAAGAGAAGTTTTAAATCGATTCAAAATATTACCTTGGTTTTTTATGACAAGATGTGGCAGTTGTTTGTATTTTAGTTGTACTAAACAATGTATTTTTCCGATTCTGATCATATACGGTACGGCCCTAGTGGAAATTAGTTACTCCGTATTTGTAATCATTTTGAGTACAGCAAAATATGAACAAAATGGTTTGTCTTGTCATGTGGAAACAAGGTTAATCTTAATGTTGAAAATCTAAGAATTTAATTAGATACTGTCTGTTAAACGTTTAACGCGGTTATTACGTCGCCGTTTTAAGGGTTAGCATTTTTTCTAACCATGACACCCTTAGTCCACACTTATTCACGTCGTTGAAGCGTAAACATAACAGTTAGGCTTTAATCACAACTCACATTCCTGTTAGACAACATGATTCACTGGATTGATAACAGATTTTCAATAAACAGGCTGGTGAAAATTACCAATCAGGCTTATGTAATAAAAAATCATATTTCTAGAAAAGAAATAAAGATAGATGTCTTTTAAACTTAGTTTGTTTATTGAGAATAATATTTGACATAAACAGAAAGAAAAATATTCGGCTACTGTCACTTTTGTGAGAATTATTTCCCCTTTTTCATATTACATAATTTTAGAATTCATTAAAAAGTATGTTAGATATGCAAGTTTAAAACAAAATAAGTTAAATAACTTCTTTATGCTCTAAGTCATTGCGCCAACAGCCGTCAGCATACGGTATATTTCATTCAGTTTTCAGAGAAAACCTCAAAGTATAATGTAAGTGCCTGAAAGAATTGTCAAAATATAAATGCCAGAAACAGAATATGTAATCCAAATATATAGAATAAAGGTACTGGCGCAATAATATTGAGCAAAATGAAGTTGTTGGACACATTTCTATCTAGAATTTTACATTAGAATATAATTTTTATGAACTTCAAAATATTAGATCTATATTTTGTTTCTTGAAAATGGGAAAAAGAGAAATAATTCTAAGAAAATAAAAGATAACCAAATTATTTTTATTTTATTTGTATCATATATCAATGCTTAATAAACAAAACAAGTGAAAAAGAAACATATTAATTATTTTTCTAGAATATGTTATTTTGCCCGATCAGGCTGACAAAAAAATATCAAGTTAGCCTTCTTATGCACCAATTGTCACGCGTTAAAAGTCTGCTCAATTTCAACTGAGATTTTTTTCAACTTTTATCTACGAACTTAATGTTTGATTTATTCGTCTGTTTATCCTGTAAAAAGAAAACGAACACAATCTAATAATTTACCTGTCATGGGCGCATCCATTTTGTTTGTTGATATTGGTTTATATGACGGTTAGGAAATATTATGCGTTCCAACATACATGTACGTTGATGTAAAAAGAAAACAAAAACGTGTTTGTTCAAATGCCCCCCAGGTCGGATTTTTGTCAGTAACAATATTCAAACTAGAAATTTGTCCATAGGACACGGGTGCCCCCACACTCCACCGATTTGTCAATCTTGTGTCTCTAGGTCAATTTTTTTTTGGCTACATATGCCACAAGTTGAAAACTAAAAATCTTTTATTAAGTAAAGGGCAAACACTACAAATACTGAATAAATCACAAGAAAACCCCAAAGTGCATAAGTACAAATGCTGAGCAACATTCCTGTAAGGTTTCATGACTCTAGGTCAAATACTTTTTGAGTTACATGCAACACAAGTTGAATATTGTAAATTTTTACTAAGTCAAGGGCAATTACTCTAAAAATACTAAAAATATCTACACGAAAATACCCAGGTGCACAACTAGTCATGCTGAGCAACATTCCTGTAAGGTTTCATGACTCTAGGTCAAATACTTTTTTAGTTACATGCAACATAAGTTGAAAATTTGAAATTTTTACTATGTCAAGGGCAATAACTCTTAAAATATCAACAGGAAAATTCCCAGGTGCAATAGTTTTTGAGCTACTTGTGACACAAAACGAGAACGGATGGACAGACGGACATACTCCCAAAATGGTCCTTATGTGACTTTTCCTTTGATCTTTTTGGCCATTTTTAGTCACACAAGGCTTAAAAAAAAGACACACAAGTAAAAACGGAATGAATAGGAACAAAGAGAATTTACTGTACCCATCGTTCTCCAAGTCACACAAGTACCTCTGGGTTCGTACAGACTGACTGACGGACGGACAGACGGATGGAGGGTAAACCAAAAGTCCCTTCCGGTTAAACTGGTAGGGGACTAAAGAAAACAGATTATGTAAAATGTGCAATTAAAATGCCATCCAAAATGAGTATCATTTTTTGCTTTATTGTACTAAATATTCTGAAATTCGTAATTTATATATTATGAAGGCCACAATAATTATGTTTAATGCTCTTACGTCTTTATCAAATAAAAAAAAAAAATCATTTATCAAAATTTGTTAAAAAAGCATTTGAAACACATAGAAATGCTCTTGAAGTAAAGATGTTTCTTAAAATGCATTTATTTCTATACCATTGAATCATTATTGTATTGTTTGTCTTAGCAATACTTCACATGTATAATTTGTAAATTGCAAAAGGCAATCATTTTTGCTGACTTTGCCAATAAAGTTGAAACTTGTAAGTCTGAATGATCTGTACGATCACTTACCATTATTTTACACCAATGTTTTAGACTGTGGAGCATTTTGGCATATTATTATACTTACATGGGTGCAAGTTAAAAACACCAGAAAACCTGATAACCCTGAATTTAGTATTACTCAATTGTTTTTTCTACAGAAAAAGACAGCTTTCAGGAGAAGAAACTAGAAATATGTCCATAGGACATGGGTGCCCCCACACTCCTCTGTTTTGTCAATCTTATGACTCTAGGTCAAATATTTTTTGGGCTACATGTGCCACAATTGAAAACTAAAAATCTTTTACTCTTAAAGTAAAGGGCAAGAACTTTACAAATACTAGCAAACCCCAAGGTGCATAAGTACACATGCTGACCAACATTCTTGTAAACTTTCAGGCCTACATGTCAAATACTTTTTGAGCTATGCATGAACAAGTTGAATTCTTGTAAACTTTCAGACCTACAGGACAAATACTTTTTGAACTATGCATGAACAAGTTGAAAATTGCAAATTTATACTAAGTTTGCAAATTTATAATAAGTCAAGTTCAATAACTTTAACAAAACTGGAAAAAAATCCACATGCAAAACCTGAGGTGCATAGCTTCACAGTGATGTTGATCATAATTCCTGTAAATGTGGCTGATTCTAACTCAAGCACTCGAGGAACAAATAACACAACATAATGGAATGGTTTTTACTAAGTTAATAAATAATTAACTAAATAAATCCACACAAAAATACCCAGGTGCACAATTACACATGATGACCAATATACCTTTTAAGTTTCATGACCCTAGGTCAAATACTTTTTGAGCTAGGCGGACACAAGTTGAATATTGCAAATTTTTACTAAGTCAAGGGCAATAACTCTAGACAAAACAGAATAAATCCCACAAGCGAAACCCAAGGTGCACAACTTCACATCATTCCTGTAAAGTTTCATGACTCTAGATCAAATACTTTTTGAGTTACCTGTGACACAAATTGAAAATTTTACTAAGTCAAGGGCAATAACTCTACAAATACTAAATAAATCCACAAGTAAAAATACCCAGGTGCACAATTACACATGCCATTGGCTATCTATTATACAAAAGAAAATAACGAGAGAAACGGCCCCTTATTCCGTTTCGGCCGTTGTCTGGATGGAAGGACGGACAAGGTTAAATCTAAATGCCCCCCCCTCAAAGTGGGGGCTCAAAAACCTGAACTTCAGGCAAATGCCTGAAAACCTGTACCCATGTACTTAAATCCTTTTAAGTCTTGTTTTAAGTTTAAACATGATAAACAAGGATACTTTTAATGATTTTACCTATATTATATGTATATAAAAGTGAAATCATTCTCCTGTAATTCTATCTAGAATTGGGAGAGCTGTTTTGCGACCCTTTTTGCAGAGCAGTTTTTGCAACTCAGGCTTAACGGCAATGAAGTGCGGATGTAATTTTTTAAGTAAAAAAATTGAGATTCTTCCGTAAGGGTCCATGAAAGAAACATACAATAAACGTTTCATCAAATATGGCCCAGTGGTTTCAGAAATGTTGTTTACATGAAAAGATGATGGACAGACAAAAGCTGTCAGGCAGATAACTAAAGAATACTTTCACATTAAGTGTAAGGTGAGATAAAAACAAATCATTGACAAACACAAAATGCATTATCATATTTTATTTTTATCATTGCAAACTCGAAGACAACAAAGGAATCACAAAGATTTAATTGAGAAATAACTGACTTCCCAAAATATATATGACTACAAAATCAGGCTGTTCATAAATAAATTGTTTCCCTTCACATCACTTATTGCCAGATAATGTTTTATTTTAACATGGCATATAAAACCAAGCCAGTCTGTAGTCTTACCTGGTTGATTAATATTATGTTATATAATTCAAATTGAAAATCATCAGCTCCAGGTAACAGCTCTATACTGACTGCGAAGGCTTATTACTTTAGGCTCCAGATGATACAGGTGAAAAACATTTTTCAAAACATAAACTTCATCATTTAAATTTTGTATCCATATTTCAATCAGTTTGTTTACCTCAATATGTACCTGACATATAACCTATCCATTATATAATCAGTTACTGTTAAACCTAATTATTTATATGTATCTAAATGAGTAACTTATTTAAGATTGATTAATTAATTTAAGGAGATAGGACTTACAGAGAGATAGATCACTGACCATTAGTTGTTATATATAAAATTTGCTTCAACAATATGTATCAGATTCAACCTTTTTTTAAACTGTTAAAATAAGCTGTGAATGCTTGTTAGATATATAATAATGTGTAATACCCATTCATTCCCCTATTACATATCTAAGTGTTTTCTCTGCAAGTGTTACATTTAAGATAATTACAAGGTATATATATATTCATTAATATTTTGAACTTACACAATCATTTTAGAGAAGTGACTACATTTGTGTCTCCTCCCCTCCCCCTTCCCAAATAAAAGAAAAAAATCTTTCTGTTTTGCATCAATAAAACTTATTTCAAGATTAACCTTAAATTTTCAGTTTAGGTATTTCTCACCTCATGAAGTTA